TCTGCAAACAGAGACAATTTAACTTCTTCCTTTCAGAACTGGATGCTTTTTCTTTCGCTCTCTTGGCTTAATTGCTTTGGCTAGGACTCCCAGTATTAGGTTCAATAGAAGTAGCAAGAGTGGGCATCCTTTTCTTGTTCCTGATCTTAGAGGAAAAATTTTCAACTTTTCACCATTGAGTATAATGTTAGCTAGGGGATTGTCCTATATGGTGTTCACTGGGTTGAGATACATTCCTTTTTATACAGATTTTGTTGAGAATTTGTATCATGAAGAGATTTTGTTACATGGCTTTTCTACCTGTATTGAGGTGATCATACGGTTTATGCACTTCTTTCTGTTAATGCCATGTGTCACATTTATTGATTTGCATATACTGACCCATCCTTGCAACCTAGGGATAAATCACAATTATGGTGAATCATCCTTTTAATGTGCTGTTGAATTTGGTTTGCTAGTTTTTTGTTGAAGATTTTCACATCTGTGTTCACCCAGGGATATTAGCCTATAATTTTCTTTTCTTGTAGTGTCCTTATCTGGCTTTGGCATCATAAAATGAACTTGGAAGTTTTCCTTCCTTTTCAGTATTTTTTGAAAGAGTTTGATAAGAATTGGTATTATTTCTTCCCTAAATGTTTGATAGAATTCACCAGTGAAGCCGTCAGGTGCTAGGCTTTTCTTTCATGGGAGGCTTATTACTGACTCATAATCTCCTTACTGGTTATTTGTTTGCTCAGGTTTTCTGTTTATTAATTATTCAGTCTTGGTAGGTGGTATGTATCTAGAAATCTGTCAGTTTCTTCTAAATTATTTGTTGGCATATAGTTGTTCATATTAGTCACTTACGATTTTTCTTATTTCTGTAATATTTCTATCCAGATCTATTAACATTTGCTTTATGTATTTAAGATGCTCTGACATTGGGTGCATACATATTTACAGTTACTTTATCTACTTGATAAATTGCTCTTTTATTATTATATAATGACCTTGTTTGTCTTGTTACAGTTTTTGGCATAAAATCTATTTTATATAATATAAATATAGACCCTCCTGTTCTCTTTTTGTTTCTAATTGCATGGAATACCTTTTTCTATCCTTACACTCTTATTCTGTGTGTATCTTTAAAAGTGAAGTGAGTCTCTGTAGGCAGCAAATAATTGGGTCTTTTTTTTTTCAGCCAATCTTTGTCTTTTGATTGGAGAATTTAACATTTACATTCAAGATAATTATTGACATGTAAGGACTTACTATTGCCATTTTGTTAATTGTTTTCTGTTTGTTCTGTAGATCTTTTTCCTTAAGATGATTTTCTCTAGTGGTATGTGCTTTGATTTCTTACTTTTTTATCTTTTGTGTATCTTGTGTAGATTTTTGCTAGTGGTTACCAGGAGGCTTATATAAAATACCTTACAGTTATAGTAGACTAAGCTGATAACAACTTAATTTTGATTGACTAAAGTAACTACACTTTTCTTCCACCCCCCCAACATTTTTTGATGTCACAATTTATATTTTTTATATTGCATATCCCTTAACAAATGATTGTAGCTATTATTTGTGATAGCTTTCCATTTTAATATTCATACTAAAGATAGTGATTTATACACCACAATTACAGTATTATTCTGAATTTGATAGCTTTCACCAATGACTTTCATATTTTCATGCTATTAAATTAGCATCCTTTTCACTCAGCTTGAACTCCCTTTAGCATTTCCTATAAGTCAGATGTAGTGGTAATGAAATCTCTCAACTTTTGTCTGGGAAAGTCTTTATTTCTTCATTTCTGAAGGACAGCCTTACCAGATACAGGATTCTTGGTTGACGTTATTTTCTCTTCAGAACTTTGACTATATCATTCCACTCTCTCCTGGCATGTAACATTTCTGCTAAGAAACTGGCTGCTAGCCTTATTGGAACTCTGTTATATATGTTAATCTTCTTTTTCTTTGCTGCTTTCATGATCCTGTGTGCTTTTTGACAGTTTGATTATAATATACCTTGCTGTAATATTATTTGGATTAAATCTCTTTGGAGACTTTTGACCTTCCTGTACCTAAATATTTATCTTTCCTCAGATTTGGAAAGTGTTATGCTATTTATTTCTTTAAATAAGCTTTCTTACCCCTTTCTGTCTCTTCTTCTTGAACTCTTATAACTCAAACATGTGCTCTTCTGATGCTGTCTCACAAATTCCATAGGTGTTCTTCATTATTTTTCATCCTTCCCCCCAACCCCATGACTACATATTTTCAAATCACATATTTGAATTCACAGATTCTTCTGCTGGATCAATTCTGTTGTGGACGTTGTCTATTGCATTTTTCATTTCACTTATTTTTCAGCTCCAGAATGTTGGGGTTTTTAAATATAATTTCAATGTTAAACTTCTCATTTTGATTGTTTACTTTTTCCATGATTTTATTGAATCATTTCTCTGAATACTCTTGAAGTTTGCTGAGCTTTCTTAAAACAATTCTTTTGAATTCTTTATCAGACAGTTTGTATATTTCTTTGGGGTTAGCTACTAGATTATTGTGCTGTCTTGGTGGTGGTGTCTTTTTCTTTTTTATGTTTCTTGTTGCTTATGTTGATACCTGTGCATTTGGTGGAGTCACCTTTTGCAAAACTCATGGGCTAGTTTTGCTGTGGAAAGACCTTCCTCTCCATGGAATATAAGACCATTTGCTGACTGAGCTGCAGTAGTTCTGGTACCAGCTATGTCTGCAGAGGTTGGTGTTCACAAAGGTGGCAAGGCTCCTCAGTGGTCAACACTGTGGATGTCCACAGTGCCAGCAAGGGTTGTTGGGGTCTTAGAGACAATGGCTGAGGAGATCCTCCTGATCTCTTTTCTCCCACTAGGGAAGTTATAGCTGAGAGGGTATGTCTTGGCACTGGGTCTGGTCAGTGGGCTGTCTTGCCATAGTGACAATACCAGTATTTGAGTGGTACCTGTGGAACAGCCATGGAACTGAGGCCTGAAGCACGAGAACATTTGGAGGGCCTGTCGCTATGAGATCTGGGGGTTAATGGCATTGGTGCCTGGGGCACAAGCAACCCTCCTACAGTAACAGTATGCAAGCCACAGATGCTTCTGGATCAGCTGGTAGAGCCAAGAATGGGAGCACAGACACACACAGTGTTAGAGAAGTTCCAGAGTCAGAGCAAGGCCTGGTTCTCTATGGTGGCTGAGCTGGTGGCTTGAGGCACAGGCGCCCTGTCTGTCATGTTGGTAGTAGTTTTGAGCTACAAATGCTTGTGAAGTAGCCAGGGAACCAAGAATGGAAACACAAGTGTACACAGAGTTAGCATGGCTCTAGGGTTAGGATGGAGCCTAGTTATCCATGTGACTGAACTGGTATGCAGAGTATGGACTCTAGGGCCCAGAGTACAAACTAGCTCACTATGGCAGTCACTCCAGTGTCTGAGACATGTGTGGGCCCATTGTAGCCACAGAGCCTGAGACTGGAGCTTGAGGGCTCTTATGAAGTGGCTGCAGCTCAAAGATTGAGGTATGTACAGGATTAGAAGAAATGGTGGCTCCTTTCTTAAAGTGGCTCAACAGCAGCCACTTCTGGGGGTAGAGGTTGTTAGGGATGTACATTTCATTTTCTAGGGTTCTCCAGTGGGAATGGCTATCTGATACCTCAGTGGCAGGAGATGCTGGTATCCTCTGCAAAGCAGGTCACTGGTGACGACAGTAGTTCTGCTGTGTGGCTCAAACTAAGGCCTCCACCTTTTTTGTTCCTAGACATCTCCTGGTGTATTAGGTATGCTGATCACAATCCTTTCTGTGTGGTTGCTCTTCATTATTGTGCTCCACTGTATTGCTGCAGATCCTATAATGAGTCTTTGCAGTCCCTCTGGGTTGTTATGGTATGTGAATAGTTGTCTGTATTTATTTATTTATTTATTTTGTGTATGTAGGAAGATAAAGGCTGGCATCTCTTAGTCTGCCCTCTTGGCGATGACATGCTGGACCAATATTTCAGTGGCTTTTCCTTCGTGTTTCCATTTAGTTAAGTTCCATTTAGGTACTGTTATAACGAGCAGCTTTTATTTTGCTATGTGTCTTTGCTTGAATATGCTGTTGGGAATAAAGAGTGTTCCGGATGAATTCAGTTGCCTAGTTGTAATTTCTGAATACATAAGAATATGTAAAGTTTGTGCAGCATGTAGAACTACAATATGTTTTAGATTTTTACATTTAAGTCTTTAATCCATCTTGAGTTAATTTTTGCATAAGGTGTAAGGAAGGGATCCAGTTTCATTTTTCTGCATATGGCTAGCCAGTTTTGCTAACACCATTCATTAAATAGGGAATCCTTTCCCCATTGCTTGTTTTTGTCAGGTTTGTCAAAGATCAGATGGTTGTAGATGTGTGGTGTTATTCCTGAGGCCTCTGTTCTGTTCCATTGGTCTATGTATCTGTTTTGGTACCAGTACCATGCTGTTTTGGTTACTGTAGCCTTGTAGTATAGTTTGAAGTCAGGTAGGGTGATACCTCCAATTTTGTTCTTTTTGCTTAGGATTGTCTTGGCTATGCAGACTCTTTTTTGGTTCCATATAAAATTTAAAGTAGTTTTTTCCAATTCTGTGAAGAAAGTCAATGGTGGCTTGATGGGGATAGCATCTTATTTCTATCAGTTACCCTATAGTAAAATTGGTTTCATTATATAGCACTGCAGTTTCCATGAACCTATCAATGGCATTAAGTGAGGACTCTATTTAACATTGTAACACAATTAAAAAGAATTCCAATTCTAAGCCCTTGGTTCACACTGGGAACACTCCCAAAGGTGTACTTCCTGTTGCAAGAAAAAGAACTAGGCAGTAGAATACTTCTAGGAGAATTTTCAATCTGGTAAGTTTCAGATTCCGTATCTAGTGGAGTATACTCGCCAACTACTCCATGTGCTAGGGATGGATAATTTAAAGCATTTTTCTTTAAAGTATAATAAGGACATGTGGCAATAGCTATGAGACACACTCCTGGATGAGACGTGAGTAGGCAAGACATTTATTCACTCATGATATATCCGTGCAAAGTGTGCCTACAGTATACAAGGTAAACTCACAACTCATCAAAACTAAAACTTTTTACAATGTGCAATACATATAGGGATATTAATTCAATATATAAATGTCACATGTCTCCCAAATGTCACCCAGGCTTTCTGTTATTTCTTAAAATATACAAGTCAATATTACCAGAGAAAAGAAAAGAAAAAAATCCCATTATCTTAAACTTATGTATACTTCTCTAAAGATTCTTAGGCTTGTAAGGAATGAGATTTAAGTCTATTTTTAGATGTTAGCATTCTGGACTGACTTGCAGGCTGTGGAAACACAAGACAGTTGTCACATGACTAAACGAAATGGGACTGGCTGCTACAGGCAAGGGATAAAATTGAGAGAGAGGAATCTGAGATTTTTCAGTCTCTTAAATATTAACCTATGTCTTGTTAGAATTCATATATTTCTCTCACTTAACCTTTGCTATCAGGGTCATTGTTAGGTTTATTAACAATATTTTACTTTGACATAGCAAAACATTTAATAGCATTCAAGATAAAGGTAAATATCAAAATATCTAGGACAATAATGAGTTATGCATTATACTAATTGTACTCACGCCTTCCTGTGAAGTCCACATTTTTAAAAAAATATATTATTGCATATGAAACCACAAACAGGCATTCTGATTTCAGCACATTCTTACTCAAAACAGTATATACAGTCCTATTAGAGTCAGAGCATACTATACAGATCCATGCATGGGATCTATAGTGGTGAAGGTCCCAGGTGTACAGCACATATGTACACTTCTATATCACATCTCGTGGCAGAGGCATGCTTTCTCAGCAGGTGTCAAGGGTCTCCCATGCCAGTGAAAGGGAAACAGAGGGCATACAGATGTTCTGTCCTAGGCCGCTTCTTCAGCAGAACAGTCAATTCCTGCATAAGTAAACTTCTCATAAAGCGTGGTATTCACGTAGGTCTGGAAGAATGAGAATGGTTCAGAGACATAGGCTGCTTTGATTCCACCTCTGCCAGCGGCAGTTACAGCAGTACCTTGGTTTGTTTCAACTCAAAATACTAAGCACTTGGGGGATACTTTCTGTCCTCAGTCCCTCTGTTGTATTTGATGACTTTCTTCCTAAAATGCATCCCCTTGCCTTCTGCAAGTAAGATTTCATACTGTATCCTCAGTTTCTGAGCTTGCCTTTCTCACAGTGTCTTATTGGTACCTCCTAATGTGTTCAGCTTCTCTCGGGTTCCTTCCCCTGTCTGAATCTCATCTTCACATCTCTCTGTGTGATCTCGCCTGCATCTCTAGTTGAATTACCACTTGGGTTTTGACCATTTCTTTAAACTACATTTACTTTTCTTTTGATTCCCAGATCAGTATAGCCAACTAACTTCTAGAAATTTTTATGGAATTCCTGACCCTCCTCATAGTAACCTGCAGGTCAAGCTCTGTTGTATACTTGCTGTGTCCTCAGTCAATCACCCACTTCTGAGCCTATTACTTCATCTATAAAATTAAAAGGTCAGGCTATATGACTAAAATTCCTTCTAGCTCTAATAGGCTAATTCTGTATGTTATTCCATTGTGTACATGACTATATCCTGTATAGAAATCTTATTTCCCCCCAAAATTGTAACTTTTTCCAAGTTGCGGGGGTAGGGGGATATCCTTTGTTTCTATAATACTTAGGGCCATGTCAAGAAGAACTTCTTCAATTGTTTCAGTGTTTTTTGTGAACCACCCTGGGCACATCAGGAATTCCAATTAAAGATCTCCTGCCTGACTTTAATACTCACCTTTCGTTCCTCTAACATTCTGTTTAAGGACACCAATATCTGGGCAAATGACGGCCTCTCGTAAGGCTTCTCCCGCCAGCATTGTCTCATTAGATCAAACCTTCGAAAGCAAAAGAATTAAAGGGTTAATTCTATAACTGTGCTTCAGTCCTGGGCATGGCAGGAAAAGAGAATGAAGCCAACCAGTGCATGGTTATAAAGCTTAACCAGCAGAAGACAAAAGTACAGCACCTGGGAAGTTTCTACTAGGCCTCCCACCTCCCTAAGCAAGTCCCATTTCATCTCCCTATAGATTTAGTTCCTACCCTGGGTACTGTTTCTGCAGGATCTTGGTCTCAGCTATTACAATCATCTAGAAAGAACTGGGTATGTGTCTATAGCAGCATTTCCCTTGGAATGCTGCATCTTTCAAAATGTTAGTGTCTCTTAAAAGGCCCATGCTCAAACTTGTAAAATGCCACCCATTGTATCCCCCTTTAAGAGGGAGGACTTTTAGAAGCACTGTCATTAAAAACAAAGCCTGTTTAACCAGGTGTTATGGACTCAATGTTCATGCTACCCAAAAATCATGTGTTGAAACCATGTGATGGTGTTTGAAGGTAGGTAGTTTGGAAGGTGATTAGGCCATGAGGGTAGAACCCTCATGAATGGATTCGTGCCCTTACAGAAAAGGCCTGAAAGAGCTCTTTTGCTCCTTGTACCACATGAGGACACAGCAGAAAGATGGCCATCTATGAACCAGGAAATGGTTCACGGCCACCAAATCTGCCAATGCTTTGATCTTGAATTTCCCAGCTTTCAGAACTGTGAGAAATACTATTTTGTTACAGCAGTCGGAAATGACTAAGACAACAGGTTTAACACGAAGTTTCCAACTTAATTGACCACAGAACTCCTTTCCCCTTGTATCATGTATTTATATCTTGCACAACATGTGAACATAGTTTGGGAAACACTGACTTAAGACAGTGTTTTCTCAATTGTGCTCAGAACTCCTTGTGTGATTAAAATACAGATTTCTGGAACCTGCCCACATGTTGAACAAATGACTCCGGGGAACCCTATGTGCATAGAAGGCTATCAACCATTGGTTTAGGGTGTCACAGATCCCAGAACAGCTTATACTTTAACATAAGTTTCTTAAAGACTAAAAAATCTTCTTACCCCTTATGAAGTGAATCTCAAAAGGTAGAATTTAAGGGACTGTCTAGTGATGGTCCAACTATGTCCAGGTTTTTCCAGGATGGTATGTATGCTTCTTATTCCAGTGATATTAACACCCTCCTTCACTCTTAGAAGTAGCCCCATTTAGACAATAAATTATTTGTTCAACCTAGAGCCTTTCAGTCTTCAAACATGCCAGTTAGCTTCTACCATGGATAGTTCTGGGAATGGTGGTATCACTACAGGTCATTATATTTCCCCTTGGAATAAATCTTACTTTTGAAAGTAATCTTAGTAGAAGCAAGGTTCTAGGCAAGAAAATGTATCTTTTTTAAAATTTTTTTTTTATTATAAGTTCTGAGATACATGTGGAGAATGTGCAGGTTTGTTACATCCGTATACAAGTGCCATGGCGATTTGCTGCACCCATCAACCTGTCATCTACATTAGGTATTTCTCCTAATGCTATCCTATCCCCCAACCTGCCGACAGGCCCCGGTGTGTGATGTTTCCTTCCCTGTGTCCATGTGTTCTCGCTGTTCAATTCCCACTTATGAGTGAAAACATGTGGAGTTTGGTTTTCTTTTCTTACGTTAGTTTCTACCTTCATCCATGTCCCTGAAAAGGACATGAACTCATCCTTTCTTATGGCTGCATAGTATTCCATGGTATATATGTACCACATTTTCTTTATCCAGTCTATCATTGAACAGTGCCACAATAAACCTATGTGTGCATGTGTCTTTATAGTAGAATGATTTATAATCCTTTGGGTATATACCCAGTAATGGGATTGCTGGGGCAAATGGTATTTCTGGTTCTAGATCCCTAAGGAATCACCACACTGTCTTCCACAATGATTGAACTAATTTACACTCCCACCAACAGTGTAAAAGCGTTTCTATTTATACACATCCTCTCCAGCATCTGTTGTTTCCTGACTTTTTAATGATCGCCACTCTAACTGGTGTGAGATGGTATCTCATTGTGGTTTTGATTTGCATTTCTCTAATGACCAGTGATGATGATCTTTTTTTCTTATGTTGGCTGCATAAATGTCTTCTTTTGAGAAGTGTCTGTCCATATCCTTTGCCCACTTTTTGATGGGGTTGTTTTTTTCTTGTAAATTTGTTGAAGTTCTTTGTGGGTTCTGGATATTAGCCCTTTGTCAGAAGGATAGATTGCAAACATTTTCTCCCATTCTGTAGGTTGCCTGTTCACTCTGATGATCGTTTCTTTTGCTGTGCAGAAGCTTTTTAGTTTAATTAGATCCCATTTGTTAATTTTGGCTTTTGGTGTTTTAGTCATGAAGTCTTTTGCCTGTGCCTATGTCCTGAATGGTATTGCCTAGGTTTTCTTCTAGGGTTTTTATGGTTTCAGATCTTACATTTAAGTCTTTAATCCATCTTGAGTTAATTTTTGTATAAGATGTAAGGAAGGGGTTGAGTTTCAGTTTTCTGCATATGGCTAGCCAGTTTTCCCAACACCATTTATTAAATAGGGAATCCTTTCCCCATTGTTTGTGTCAGGTTTGTCAAAGATCAGATGGTTGTAGATGTGTGGTGTTATTCCTGAGGCCTCTGTCCTATTCCTTTGGTATCTCTGTTTTGGTACTGGTACCATGCTGTTTTGGTTATTGTAGCCTTCTAGTATAGTTTGAAGTCAGGTAGCGTGATGCCTTCAGTTTTGTTCTTTTTGCTTAGGCTCATCTTGGCTATGCAGGCTCTTTTTTGGTTCCACATGAAATTTAAAGTAGTTTTATCTAATTCTGTGAAGAAAGTCAATGATAGCTTGATGAGGATAGCACTGAATCTATAAATGACTTTGGGCAGTATGGCCATTTTCACAATATTGATTCTTTCTTATCCATGAGCTTGGAATGTTTTTCCATTTGTTTGTGTCCTCTTATTTCCTAGAGCAGTGGTTTGTAGTTCTCCTTGAAGAGGTCCTTCACATCCCTTGTAAGTTGTATTCCTAGGTATTTTATTCTCTTTGTAGCAGTTGTGAATGAGAGTTCACCCATGATTTGTCTGTTTGTCTGTTATTGGTGTATAGGAATGCTTGTGATTTTTGCACATTGATTTTGTATCCTGAGACTTTGCTGAAGTTGCTTATCAGCTTAAAGAGATTTTGGGCTGAGACGATGGGGTTTTCTAAATCACAGTCACATCATCTGCAAACAGAGACAATTTGACTTCCTCTCTTCCTATTTGAATAACCTTATATCTTTCTCTTGCCTGATTGCCCTGTCCAGAACTTCCAATACTATGTTGATTGAATAGGAGTGGTAAGGGAAGGCATCCTTGTCTTAGGCCAGTTTTCAAAGGGAATGCTTCTAGCTTTTTCCCATTCAGTATGATATTGGCTGTGGATTTGTCATAAATAGCTCATTATTTTGAGATACGTTCCATCAATACCTAGTTTACTGAGAGTTTTTAGCCTGAGGGGTTGTTGAATTTCCTTGAAGGCTTTTTTTGCATCTATTGAGATAATCATGTGGTTTTTGTCATTGGTTCTGTTTAGATGATGGATTATGTTTATTGATTCACGTCTGTTGAACCAGCCTTCCATCCCAAGGATGAAGCCGACTTCATCATGATGGATAAGCTTTTTGATGTGCTGCTGGATTTGGTTTGCCAATATTTTATTGAGGATTTTCGCATCAATGTTCATCAGGGATATTGGTCTGAAATTTCTTTTTTGTTGTGTCTCTGCCAGGTTTTGGTATCAGGATGATGCTGACCTCATAAAAAGAGTTAGGAAAGATCCCTCTTTTTCTATTGTTTGGAATAGTTTCAGAAGGGATGGTACCAGCTCCTCTTTGTACCTCTGGTAGAATTCGGCTGTGAATCCATCTGGTCCTGGACACTTTTTGGTTGGTAAGCTATTAATTACTGCCTCAATTTCAGAATTTTTATTGGTCTATTCAGGGATTTGACTTCTTCCTGGTTTAGACATAGGAGAGTGTATGTGTCCAGGAATTTATCCATTTCTTCTAGTTTATTTGTGTAGAGGTGTTTATAGTATTCTCTGATGGTAGTTTGTATTTCTGTGGGATCAGTGGTGATATCTCCTTTACCATTTTTTATTGCATCTATTTGATTCTTCTCCCTTTTCTTCTTTATTAGTCTGGCTAGCAGTCTATTTTGTTGATCTTTTCAAAAAACCAGCTCCTGGATTCATTGATGTTTTTGAAGGACATTTTGTGTGTCTATCTCCTTCACTGCTGCTCTGATCTTAGTTATTTCTTGTCTTCTGCTAGCTTTTGAATTTGTTTGCTGTTGCTTCTCTAGTTCTTTTAATTGTGATGTTAGGGTGTCGATTTTAGGTCCTTCCTGCTTTCTCTTGTGGGCATTTAGTGCTATAAATGTCCCTCTACACACTGCTTTAAATGTGTCCCAGAGATTCTGGTACGTTTTGTCTTTGTTCTCACTGGTTTCAGAGAACATCTTTATTTCTGCCTTCATTTCATTATTAATGAAATTAGTCATTCAGGAGCAGGTTGTAATTGTGCAGTTTTGAGTGAGTTTCTTAATCCTAAGTTCTAATTTGATTGCTCTGTGGTCAGAGAGACTCTTATGATTTCTGTTCTTTTGGATTTGCTGAGGAATGTCTAACTTCCAATTATGTGGTCAATTTTAGAGTAACTGCAATGAGGTGCTGAGAAGAACACATATTCTGTTGATTTGGGGTAGAGAGTTCTGTAGATGTCTATTAGGTCCACTTGTTCCAGAGCTGAGTTCAAGTCCTGAATATCCTTGTTAATCTGTCTAATATTGACAGTGGGGAGTTAAAGTCTCCCACTATTATGTGGCAGTCTAAGTCTCTTGGTAAGTCTCAAAGAACTTGCTTTATTAATCTGGGTGCTCCTGTATTGGGTACATATATATTTAGGATAGTTAGCTCTTCTTGGTTGTATTGATCCCTTTACCATTATGTAATGGCCTTCTTTGTCTCTTCTGATCTTTGTTGGTTTAAAATCTGTTTTATCAGAGGGCAACCCCTGCTTTTTTTGCTTTCCATTTGCTTGGTAAATATTCCTCCATCCCTTTATTCTGAGCCTATGTGTGTGTGTGTGTGCATGTGAGATGGGTCTCCTGAATACAGCACACTGATGGGTCTTGACTCTTTATCCTATTTCCCAGTCTGTGTCTTTTACTTAGGGCATTCAGCCCATTTACATTTAAGGTTAATATTATTATGTGTGAGTCTGATCCTGTCATTATGATGCTAGCTGGTTATTTTGCCTGTTAGTTGATGCAGTTTCTTTGTAGTGTCAATGGTCTTTAGATTTTGATATATTTTTGCAGTAGCTGGTACCAGGTTTTCCTTTCCATGTTAGTGCTTCCTTCAGGAGCTTTTGTAAGGCAGGCCTGGTGGTGACAAAATCCTTCACTTATGAAGCATAGTTTGGCTGGATATGAAATTCTGGGTTGAAAATTCTTCTAAGAATGTTGAATACTGGCCCCCACTCTCTTCTGGCTTGTAGGGTTTCTACAGAGAGATTTGCTGTTAGTCTGATGGGCTTCCCTTTGTGGGTAACCTGACCTTTCTCTGGCTGCACTTAACATGTTTTCTTTCATTTCAACCTTGATTAATCTGACGATTATGTGTCTTGGGGTTGTTCTTCTCAAGGAGTATCTTTGTGGTGGTCTCTGTATTTCCTCAATTTGAATGCTGATCAGTCTTACTAGGTTGGAGAAGTTCTCCTGGATAATATCCTGATGAGTGTTTTCCAACTTGGTTTCATTCTCCCCATCACTTTCAGGTACACCAATCAAACATAGGTTTGATCTTTTCACATAGTCCCATATTTCTTGGAGGCTTTGGTCATTCCTTTTCATTTTTTTCTCTAATCTTGTCTTCATGCTTTATTTAAGTTTATCTTCAATATCTGATATCCTTTCTTCCACTGGATCCATTCAGCTATTGATACTGTGTATGCTTCGCGAAGTATTCATGCTGTGTTTTTTAGCTCCATCAGGTCATTTATGTTCTTCTCTAAACTGGTTATTCTAGTTGCAATTTGTCTAACCTTTTATCAACGTTCTTAGCTTCCTTGCATTGGGTTAGAATATGTTCCTTTAGCTTGAAGGAGGTTGTTATTACCCACTTTCTAAAGCCTACTTCTGTCAATTTGTCAAACTCATTCTCTATTCAGTTTTGTTCCCTTGCTGGTGAGGAGTTGTGATCCTTTGGAGGAGAAGAGGCATTCTGGGTGGAATTTTCAGCCTTTTTGCACTGGTTTCCCCTCATTTTTGTGGATTTATCTATCTATGATCTTCGGATGGGGTTTTGGGGTGGAGGTCCTTTTCCTTTCTGTTTGTTTTCCTTCTGACAGTCAGGCCCCTCTGCTGAAGGTCTGCTGGAGTTGGCTAGAGGTCCACTCCAGACCCTGTCTGCCTGGGTGTCACAAGTGGAGGCTGCAGAACAACGAAGATTGCTGCCTGTTCCTTCCTATGGAAGGTTTGTCCCAGAGGGGCACTTGCCAGATGCCAGCTAGTACTCTCCTGTATGAGGTGTCTTGTCAACCCCTGCTGGGCTGGGAGGTGTCTCCCAGTCAGGAGGCACAGGGGTCAGGGACCCACTTGAGGAGGCAGTTTGTTCCTTAGCAGAGCTCGAGTGCTGTGCTGGGAGATCTGGTGCTCTCTTCAGAGGTGGCAGGCAGGAATATTTAAGTCTGCTGAAGCTATGCCAATAGTGGCCCCTACCACTAGGTACTTTGTCCCAGGGAGATGGGAGTTTTATCTATAAGCCCTTGACGGGTGCTGCTGCCTTTTTTTCAGAGATGCCCTGTCCAGAGAGCTGGAATCTAGAGACGCAGTCTGGCTACAGTGGCTTTGCAGAGCTTGGTGGGCTCTGCCCAGTTTGAACTTCCCTGGGGCTTTGTTTACACTGTGAGGAGAAAACCAGCCTACTCAAGCTTCAGTAATCGGGGATACCCCTCCTCCAACCAAGCTGGAGCATCCCAGGTTGACTTCATACTGCTGTGCTGGCAGCAAAGGATTTCAAGCCGGTGGATCTTAGCTGGGTGGGATCCACTGAGCTAGACCACTTGGCTCCCTGGCTTCAGCTCCCTTTCCAGGGGACTGAATGGTTCTGTCTCACTGGTGTTCCAGGTGCCACTGGGGCAAGGAAAAAAAGCTAAAAAAAAAACAACTCCTGCAGCTAGCCCTAAACGGCCGCCCAGTTTTGTGCTTGTAACCCATGGCCCTGTTGGCATAGGCACCAGAGGGAATCTCCTCTTCTGCAGGTTGCAAAGACTGTGGGAAAAGTTTAGTATCTGGGCTGGAATGCACCATTCCTCCCGGCACAGTCCCTCACATCTTCCCTTGGCTAGGGAGGGAGTTCCTCGACCCCTTGTAGTTCCTGGATGAGGTGACACCCCACCCTGCTTCAGCTCACCCTCTGTGGGCTGCACCCACTTTCTAACCAGTCCCAAGGAGATGAGCTGGGTACCTCAGTTGGAAATGCAGAAATCACTTGCCTTCTGAGTTGATCTTGCTGGGAGTTGCAGACCAGAGCTGTTCCTTTTCAGCCATCTTGCCAGCCCAAAAATGTATCTTTCTTAATGAAAAACTTCACGAATTTATTTCAGGTTTTTCTGCATTTGTTGCCCTTCCTCATTTCAACCTTCCCAAGAGTCATTAAATGCCTCCTAAATTTCTATGCCTGTAAAGCTAATACTCCTTGTGTATTACATAACAGTATTAGTATTGGGAACCCCCCTACTTCTATTCACCTATTTGGGATCTCTGTGTGTAGGTGTTTGTGTATACCAGTTGACTTTGTGAAACACACAAGAGGAAGGAAGGTAAGACAAAATAGCCCCAGGATGAGGACTGACTTACACCTCATCATCACAGTTCAGGGGTTTCTCCAGTCTGTAGCCCTGGGGTAGCTTCTCATAGAGTTCTGCACAAGTCATCCCGCAGTAGGGTGTGCCTCCTGGAAGACAAACAGTGCCACTCTAAGTCCTCTCTGGCACGAAAAGCAATGCTTCCTGTCCAGGGGTTCTAAAGCTAAGGGGCCAGGAGGAAGACATGGTATGTCACAGGAGAGTGAACATGCTGCATGCCTCCCTTGGCAAACCCACCACTCATCAAAACTGGACTTACACTACAGAGTATGCCAAAGCATCATCATTGCTTCAGGGGAAGGAACCACCCCCGGCTTCCTCAATTCAGTGCCAGTTCTCTTCCCTAAGTCTCCCCACACACAGCACATCTATTATACCAATAATATTAACCTTTTTGTCTGATTGGAAGCCTGTAGTTTTATAATTCATATTTTAATTATAAAAGCAATGCATATTTATTGTAGAATTTTTTAAGTTTTGAGATACATGTGCCATGGTGGTCTGCTGCACCTATTGACCCATCATCTAGGTTTTAAGCCCCACATGCATTAGGTATTTGTCGTTATTCTGTCCTTCCCCCCGACAGGCCTTGGTGTGTGATGTCCCCCTCCCTGTGTCCACGTGTTCTCATTGTTCAACTCCCACTTATGAGTGAGAACATGTGGTGTTTGGTTTTCTGTTCCTGTGTTAGTTTGCTGAGGAGGATGGTTTCCAGCTGCATCCATGTCCCTGCAAAGGACATGAACTAATTCCTTTTTATGTCTGTGTAGTACTCCATGGCGTATATGTGCCACATTAAAAACATGAAGAATAAAATTATTACCTTTCTGTGTAGGGCCTTCTAGTTTTTTTAAATATGCAATATTGATAAAACTAGGATCAGTATACATGAAATTGTTATATATTTTCTGGCATGTATATTTTAACATAGATACTCACCTAAGCTGACAATCTCCCATAGTAACACACCGTAGGACCATCTGCAGGAGGGACAAGTGTGAAACCAACAATCAGCAAACAGAGTCACCACTCATTTTCCTGCCCCCAAAGCCAGGGAGACCCACCCTGTCTGAGAAAAGGAAACGTTACATGTCTACATCCTAGGATAGGCCCTTGCACACAGTGTGGGTTTCTTTTCTCTTAGCTCAACGGAAAGGTTACAATAAAGAAATAGTGTTCACTTTGCCAGAGCCCCCAAATCACTTTAACCAGAGACTCCAAGGTGGTACTGTCCAAAACAGATGAAATGTTTTGGAGCTTGACAGATCTGAGTTAAATCCAATCTCTGCCATCCAATTATGTGACCTGGAAAAAGTTGCTGAACCTCTTGGGACCTCTTAGTATATTCTTACAAAAGTGGGGACAATAATCCTTGCCTCAAAGTTATGCAGATAAACATAAAAAGCACCTTGCAGACAGTGAGGACACAGCAATTGCTCACCCCCTCTTCATCCCCAGGCATCAGCAAAACCCCTTGGACAAGTCACCACCACCCTCGCGGCCTTGGTTTTTCATCCTGGAAATGGGGTGCAAGGCAAGATGACCTAAATCTCAAGCCTACCCTTCCTTCCACCGCCAGCCTCTGATGCATCACTGCAGGCTGCAAGCAGAGACGCCCCTGACTGTCTGGCCTTATTTTGTCCCCAGCAGCTATTCTGGATTGCTTCCTCTGATCTAGGTCTGGGAGAGGAGCCACAGGAAGGCCAGTATGTCCCTTCCTGTTGAGTCCGAGAATTCACAACTCGAAGCACAATGCAGAATACACAACTTCAGTATGCAGAGTGAAATCCAAAACCTGCCACCAGTGATTCTGCACTCTGGAAACCGTCTACTCTGCGGCTTTATTCTGTTACTTTATTTCCTGGGTTTTTTGGTTACCTTTGTTCCCGAGAGGTACAGGACATTCCTGCTTCTTTTTAAAACCTCTGTCAACTATATATGTTTCTGGGAGGGGAAAAAAAATCCCTTGGCAATAAGCAGCTTACTTACACATCACTGTTCGTTGTGTACACACTGTAATTCAGTGACTCGATGGCCATCCAGCGCACTGGGAGCCTTCCCTGGAGAGAACAAAGTGAGATGTCACTTAAGTGGGACAGGGTCTTTATGAGGCTCTCAGCCTGCCTGAGCTGTGGCTCCACAAAGCCCATCGGGAACCTCATAGGCAGGGCAGACTCAGACATCATTGCTTTGTGTATGTCCCAGCTACATGTGTGTTTTCAAATTTCAAAACATGCAAATAGCGCAGGTCCTATTTATCTTCAGGGTTCAGCAGTTTTATATGAATTGAAGTGTGAGTGTGCACGCATGGTAGTCGGTCATTCCTTATTCACCTTATAGCCCTCAGAGGCACTCTGAGGTTTAGAAAGGAGAGACAGGCATAGACACTGAGTGAGAATTTAACTGTATTAATAATGTGGAAAAGGGAAATGGAGGCACTGAGGTATGGTGAAGAGAACAACTGTGCCTGGAGATGATGGAGGGAGATTCTCCAGAGGACGGGACATCCCAGCATGGTTCTGTAAGTCGTTTAGGTGTCATTAGGTGGATGGGAGAGGAAAGAGCATCTCTAGACAAGGGGAACAGTGTGCATATATAACAGTAGAGATTGAGATGATTTGTAGCTTACGTAGTGTAGTTTATGTTGGGTTTGGAGACACATACCCATACTTTGGATGCTGGTCCTGACTGCCTCCAGGCTGTCCCCATATCTTGGCTTACTGATCCCAGGCTAGGCAAAATGAGATGTGACTGGACGTTGTAAAGCTTGACTTTAAAGTTTTATTCCTGGTTTCCTCAAAGTCTCTATGATTTGGGGCTCCCTTCCTATCTACTCATTCAAGAATCATAAGGTTGGTCATCAAGAGGTTGATCCCTCCCTCCCAGAGATTTGTCCAAACTTGCTACACTGCATCCTTCTTGCAGGGAACTTGCTCCTCTCCAATCCTTCTTTCTTCCCCCTTCCCTCAACCTGGGCCTTTCCTCCCCAGCCCCAAGGTGCTAAAGAACACCTTTAACCCTGTTTAGTCTATTGTAAGATCGAGTCAAGCCCTGATAGGTGCTCTCCCCCTGTAAATAACCCCAATATTGCAGAAATGCCAAGCAAACCCATGCTAGCCTTGGGGAGCTGAGGAGAGCATCCAAATAGAATGGGTAGGTTGTGGGGTTAACCTGTGTTATCCCTCCACCTTCTCACCCAGGGCACCCACATCCCGTAAGCGCTGGAGTAAAGCAGGGAAAAGGATTTCAGGAAGGAGATTTGAAGACACCAGGTGGTCAGGGAGGAGTTGGGAGAGCCGGAGTAGGTAGGTGACTGGTGGATTCTGCTTCTTTAAGAAAACAAGTCCACCCCTGCTCCAGAGAAGCATCTGCCTTGAGTGGGTCTGAAAAGGTTAGGCAGAAAAGCATCACCTGGAAGCCAGCCCTCAGGGAGGCACACGTGGCTTCTGAAAGCGCTATGTTGATAAGCATGCAGGGCCCTCGAAGAGCCAAAGGGACCCCACTTCACACCCTCATCAGAAAAGAGTGTGGAAAGATCCAAAATGATTATGTTCACTGTGGTTGTAGCTATGTGAAAGGGTGTATGCTGTGGAAGGCGATAAGCCAAAAATGAAAAAAATATATATGCCAAGGTGGTGAATTATGGGTGATTTCCTTTCAAAATGTTCTTGAGTATTGTTTTATCTTCTCAGTAACTAGATAAGTGTGATGAAAAAAAAGGAAGCCTGGAATTGAGAATAAATGCAGGAACCTGAGCCTTGCTAAGAGACAATTTGGTGTGCCCACAAAAATGAAAAGACTGCCTATACCTCATGACAACTGGAGCCATCCCAAGAAAGCTGGGCCAAAGTAATGTTCATCAGACCTAAAAAAGGGAGAGCCATCCACCACAGTAGACCTGCCAGACACATGGAAAGGCTGCAGGGCTTGTCATCCCTGAGGCCCTGCGTTCTGCCCACCCCAGGAAAACAGAGGATGGTGAATTTCCTCCACACAGCTCTAACATGCAGGGATGTGGTACTTCTAGGACTATGTGATTCTAGACTGGGCACCAAAAGCAGAATGAGTATCTCTCTTCCTCTAAGACTGTATGGTTAGGTTCTCCCGCAATCTTGTACTTAAAGATAAAATATTACTGTTTGGGAGAGTGGATTTTGGGCTTGAACAGTGACTTGACCACTGAAGTTTCAGTGAAGAGAGAAATCTTAGATGAGCCTGTAGAAGTTATGAATTTCTCTATAGAGCCTCCTGGTGATTTAGAAACCATTTAGTTGGTTTCCTTGATTTTTGGAAAATATGTTCATCTTTTTCCTCGCTACATCGGTTGTGCATGAAAGGGGATTGTGCAAGCTCCTCAGAGGTTTCCGAATGAGATGCCTTGGGGTCTGAACTGGATAGAACCAAGACCTCAAACCACTAGGCTTGAATATTCAATTACTTGGTCACACATGACAGTGCCTTCTTCATTAGTAATACAGACGCTGCAACCATGTTAGGAATGAACATTTAGAAAGAATGTTTCCCAGGGCACACAGTATCTACTGGGACACACAGTCAGATGCTTTAGTCACCATAGAGCACTGACAGTCTAGAAGCGACATCAGGAGAGCGGGGAGTACCTCGGAAAGGATGCGATCAGTGTCCATGTCTTGTACTTACCATTGTCTTTTTCACATACACCTCTTGACCTCGGGACAATCCAAAATCTGCTATTTTTGCCACATAGTTTTCACCAACTAAAATGTTTCTGGCAGCCAGATCCCTGTGGATAAACTGAGAGTTTTGAAAACATTATGTATTTTCAGCCTAATGAAAGCCCCAGGGCTGAAAACTTTGGGGAATAGGAAAGAAAACAATAGCATAAAAAAGGATTTTAAAAAGGCACAATCCAGTTCCCCTTAAAGTTCCCCTCCAGAATTCCCTGGTAATGGAATGGATTCTGCCAAATGACACACCACATCTTGGCAGAAGAATTTCAGAAAATGAACAAATAAAAAACACAGGTTGTTAAGTCCTCCAGCTGTAATGTAGTGTGTGTCTGTTGCTGCACATGATTTTAGAGGCAAACCAGGCTAAGAGAGCTTAAGGTACCTCGCTACATCTTATGAAAATTATGAAATTTTCATAATTATGAAAATTGCTAGATAAACATTGTCAGTATTAATTTTTATTTAAATAGACGGACTATTCACAAAGAGATTGAGGGAGATTTTAAGGAGTTAAAGAAGAGAGGTTGACAGACCCTACAAACATTGAAACTGACTTTAGAGGGCATTCCAGAGGAAAGATATCCAAAGCAAGTTCCTCCAAACAAACCTGTTTTTGGCTCAGGTAGTCCATGCCCCGGGCCACGTCGGCAGCGAAGTGGAGGAGCTGCTGGGAGGACAGTGTGGACGCAGTGCTATTGGCAATAGCGAATGCTGGGTCCGTCTCCAGCACACGGCTCTTGCGCAGGAAGTCCAGAAGGTTTCCATGGGGCGCATACTCAATGGCTAGGTACAAGTAGCCTGTGGGGAAGGAAGAGAACATTGACTCATCAGTGGCCCTGAACAGCTGTAACATTTAAGAGATGTGCTGTGGGAATTGCCTATAAACTCCATTTTGTCTAAACGAAACACATCTAGTAACACCACCGAGGGAGCACTGGGGGACAGGAGGAAGATAGGTGACATCCTCCTGCAATACTCAAAGGGGGCCAGGCTGGAATGCTTGGTTTTGCTCCTTCCCACTCCCTCTCCATTCCTTCCAAACGTGCACTCACACAGAGGGCTTCCTGAAATGCTTTTACCCAGGCAGTAATAACAGTAGATGAGTCAAAGCACTCTCTTCCAGATCTAAGACACGTTCTTCACATCACCTTTTCATCTGCATTCCATTTTGATCAAGGAGCTAATATGAGCCAGGCATGTTATTCCAGTCTGCCTCTAGCTATTCCTGAGGCTGTTATTATTTTTAAACAATTAAATATCCGTGTGGAAGGAGCCACAACATGGAACTTTCTCTCCTGCCTTCTACTCCTCCTTAAAACCCATACTAAGTCACCATATTGCTGATTGGGTCTCTGGTCACCAGAAGTTAGTTTCAAAGATTGCATTTTGCTTCAAGAAACCAGAAAACTCAAGCTTTTAGGAAACAATAAAACAATAATGCCTAGAAAAACCTATGGTTCATTGTCACTTTTTTGTTCCAAATCATTTTTCTTTTTTTTTTTTTAATAAAAAGTTATTTGCCCAGTTTTGTTACTTTTGTTTTCTTGGAATTTTTAAAAAATAAATTATCCCCTTACAAAAATATTTTTAAAGGGAATTTACTTTGCTAAAAACATTGACATTTATACCTAGTAAAATGTAAAGTTTTTTTACTGTTTTTTTAAAGAATTTTTTGGGTAAACCATGTATTTAAAATGTTGTATGAATTAGAACTTGAAGCCCAGTACAGTGGCTCACGCTTATAATCCCGGCACTCTGGCAGGCCAAGGTAGACGGACTGCTTGAGCCCAGGAATTTGAGACCAGCCTGGGCAGTATACTGAGACCTAATCTCTACAAAAAATAAAAATAAAATAAAAATTAGACGAGCATGGTGGTGCGCCCCTGTAGTCCCAGCTACTTGGGAGTACTTAGGCTGAAGTGGGAGGATTGCTTGAGCCCAGGGAAGAGGAAGAAATTGAAATTCTAACAAAAAAAGAAATCTTCTAGTATTGAATCCTGTTGCACTATAATGAAAGTTAGACCTAAATTATGGTATACATGTGCTTTCTCACATTTTTACTGAATTATTCTAAAACAATTTTAATATCTATTAATAAAGAAAGATAAATTAAGGTAAATAATTTAGCATATATATATATATATATATATGTATATATATATATATATTTTTTTTTTTTTTTTTGAGACTGACTCTCACTGTGTTGCCCAGGCTGAAGTGCAGTGGCGCTACCTCAGCTCTCTGCAACCTCTACCTCCCAGGTTCAAGCGATTCTCCTGCCTCAGCCTCCTGCATAGCTGGGACTACAAGCATGAGCCACTATGCCCAGCTAATTTTTGTATTTTTAGTAGAGATGGAGTTTCACCGTGTTGGTTGGCCAGGATGGTCTCAATATCTTGATGTCGTGATCTGCCCACCTCGGCCTTCCAAAGTGCTGGGATTACAGGCGTGAGCCACCGCGCCTGGCCTATATTAAAATTTTAAGAGCCAGCTAACTATGTGCTAATGTGATGACAAAGCAAAATTTTAAGGGATATAGTTTTGTTGTTGCGTTTTTTTCCCCATTAAGGAAACTGCATTAATACTGTGGTTGGTTCTCTCCCAAAAGACCAATTGCAACCAGATGAAGTAAACATAACCTCAAGATTTTACTATCCTCAGAATAAAACAAAAGATGAAACTTAGAACTGGATCACTTGGCCATTTCTCTTATCTCCTCCTAGTGCCTGGATCCCTTAATAGCCAGCATTCTCCTAGATCTGCAGTGGGGTCAACACACTAAAACCTCAGCACAGTCTTCTTTGTAGTTTTAGCCTTTTTCCGGAAAACTGGTTTAGTCTGTCCACCACAGCCACTTGGCTTCCCGTCATAACCCCACTTTCCCTGGGCATCCAGAGAATCCTTGCCCTTTTGTACTGTGTCATTTGTGGGGTTTGTACAGAAAGTCAGGCGGGTTTTAAGAACACTCACCATGTTTGTGGGAGTGGTGTCAGCAAGGACAGCAGGGTGTGGGGGTGGGGTGTGTGTGTGTGTGTGTGTGACTTTCATTTATACTCCTGTGCCATGCTGATTACTGTTTTCAGGAAGTAGCTCAAAAAATAAATGTCATTACTTCATTATTTAACCTAAGGGACATGATCTGGCTTTCAGAATTACACCCTTATTGGATCATAGAATGATAAATTATTTGAAGCACCAGTATTTTTAGTTTAATACATTGAGGAAATGGAAGTAGTCTCTTTTCTATTGTTGGTGTTTGTGCTGCAAAGTCAACAAGAGGCTGTCAAGTTTGTAAATAATTACTGCATGGAGCTTTTTATGGGAGCAAACTTTTCCATGAGAAATTAAGTTTAAGCAGAGATTCAGAACTACAAGGCCATGCAGCACGCAGAGGTAAACCCACAGATGATTTTTGTTGTTACCTACTCACTCACCACTACTTACACGCATTACAATAGAAAGTACTCAATAAACATTTGAATAACATAAATTTAACTTTAAATGCATGTGCAACACAGGATAGTTGTAAAGCTCCATTGTAATTGTACATGAAAGCATTCTGGATAAAAACAAAGCACTATCTCATGAAAGCTTCTTATAATTATTTTTAAAATCCAACTCTCCTTAGTTTTCATATTATAGTAGATTGCTGGCATTCATGGCTTTTTAACATTCAGAATACCAATTCCCTCGGTTTCCAGGAAAAATGTAAAGGTAGGCAATTAAGAAGAAGCTGATGGTGGGGGCTCCCCTACTAGAGGAGTAGTAGTAGTAGTGAAAACCTCTGGATGGCCAAGGATGGGGCAGGTAGGAGCCATGAATACCTTTGGGCAGTAATGGCTGAACCACACCAGAAGCTAAATAGTCCACCCTCGGCACTTCCCTCCAAAAATAAGGCAAACCACAGCACAATCTATAAATGGGACTAGACAGACATTCAGATAGAAGATGCAACGTTAAAAAAAGTAAGCAACATTCTTAAGATCATTATCTTTCCTTATATCAATATGGAATTTGTCTGTTTTCTAAAAACTCTGGCAGGAAAGACAGGAAAAGAGCATCTTACCTCGATGTTCACATGCTCCTAAGAGATTGATGATGTTTGGATGGTGTCCAAGTTTACAAAGAACTTCCAGTTCTCCTGCAAAGTCCCTGTGATCATCTTTGGAGGCATATTCTGGGAAGAAAGTCAAGGGTTGTGATTCTTATTTGTTATACCCTTTCAGAATCAGCTGTCCTGTTCTGCCCCCCAAGAACCTTCAGGTGCCCTCAGTCACCATCAACTACATACAACCAAAGAGATTAGTCTAAAGTAGAGATTCTCAGCCTTGGCACTATTGACACTGGGCTGATAATTCCTTTGCAGGGCCCTGTCCTGTGCATGGTAGGATGTTTTGCAGCCATCCTGGCCTCTACCAACTAGATGTCAATAGCCAATCAAAAATGTTTCCGGATATTGCCAAATGCCTATGGATGAGAACCACCACTCTAAAGTTTTCTTGTTTAAGCTCCCAGATCCTCAGGTAAATGACTTGGTAGAGGTGGAGCTGTACCATCTTTTAGATTTTAGTTCTTCCAACTAAATCTACCATCCAGAGACAACTGAGGAATACAACCAAAGTTTCCATGAAACATCACCAATAATGCATGCATCTTTATTCATTAATTGTAACTTATTTTTTACAAACCAGTCTCAATCTGGTTGATTGAGCTAAATAAATCAAATCCAAATGCTATCTTATGGAAGTTGCATGGGAATCAGGAAACTGAGTTGCATCTGCCTTTATTCTTTTTGCCTTGTCTCTCCACCAGCACTTTAACCAGAGGGAGAACCCACCAAGCACCAGAATGAAGAGAAGGCTATTGGTTGGTGCATAAACTGATCAGTCTTGAGTCGGGGACAATGAACTATTATTGTTTTTTAAAAAACCACATTGGGTGGCAAGGGTAGGAGTGGGGTGCTGGTGGCCATAAACATGGCTGCTCATGCTTAGAAACTGTGACAATCATCTCATGAGGGGCCAATGGTATTCATAAGTCAAGTGCTCTGTTCATACTACAGAAGCCTCTCTGAGGGTCAATATCTTGGGAATTTTTTTAAAGAAGTTCCTTATAGTGAGGTTGGCCACTTATTTCAGTAACTGCCCTTCTTTGGATGCACTGCTTTGCCTGCAGGATTTATCGGCCCTGAGGCCTTATTAAGCTATTTTCCTTCTTCACATGGGCACAAGACAGAAAATCAGGCTCACAATAGATCCCAATAAAAACTGCCTTCATAAGATTCTACACCCCTCTCCTCTCACTATTCTCACTGCTCCCCCAAACTCCGTGACTAAAGTAGCAAAACAGAAAAGGGATTTCTGGCTGTTTTGCAAGTAGTTTGTATTGTTTTTAAAGAAACATATTGCTGTTTCTAATCATAGATAACATTTTGTTTTGTTAGTCTTCTTAACAATGCAGAAAGCAGAGATGATTTAATAATATTTAGAGTTAATTCACAGACTCAATATTGTGGTCCAAAAGAAAACTCTGTCAGCATCCTTAAAGAGCTCTTAAGATGGAGCTGCACAATGATAATAGTTCATCACATTCTCTGCTTTAATGCACCACATTCCAAGCCTGTATTTTGTAAAATCAATAGTGCAGCCTCACAGTCAAGTCTTACACAAACTGCTCTTTCACACAGAAGAGAAGACAGCTAGCTAATTTGCCAGCTAACTAGTCATTCTGCTTTCTCTGAAGATATTTACTATCAAATATTATTAGATGGGTAGGTACCAAACAGTCTTGAGATGAACAAAGCTGGAAAAGATTTAGTTCTTATGACCTTAAATCAGTGGTTTTCTCTGCAAACTTGAGTGTACAGAGGAACCACAGAGAAAGCCACTTAAGAACACAGATTTTCATATGCTACCCAAGAAATTCAGGTGTGGTCAAACATGGAGTAGAAGAAACCCAAGTGAATGCATTTCTAACAGTGTCCCCAGGAACTTATATACAGTTAACCTATGAAGACTGTGGTGTGCAAAATGTGGTCCCCAAACGCACAAGATAGCATCACTGGAAAACTAATGAAAAATGCAGATTCTGTGGCCCTGCCCTAGACTTACTGAGTCAGAAATTGTGGGGTAGGACCCAAGAGTTTGTTTTTAAACAAGCCTTCCAGGTGATTCTGATGCACACTCCATTTTGAGAAGCACTGCATTAAGAGAAACAACAATGCTCCCCAAAAGTTAGCTGTATATGACCAAGAATCTATAGTATCACATCCCAGTGAATCAAGCAGTGATGTTTAAATGGCTCCTGCCTTTGTATTCATATCCTGACTATCACGGGCTCAACTTCAAAGGAAGCATAGTCTTCAGTTGCAAATAACAACTATGTCTGACACCATGCGAATTTTTTGTAAGACCATAGAGAAAAGAATCAGCAGGAAATCAAGTTTTCTCCACACCCTCATGCAATGCTGACTCTATCTGGTCAACCACTGACCTTTCATTCTCTTGATGGCAGCATCCATCCGTAACCCATCCTTCTTGATGCGCGCCTTAAGAACTTGGCCAAAATTGCCCTCCCCGATCACATCTTGAAATTTGATGTCATTCCAGTCAAGCACTGGGTAAATTGTAGGATCTGGGTTGTTTTTGACCTTCCTGTTTAGGGCCAGAGTTCCTGAGTTGAACTGCACAGCTGGTTCTTCCCTCTGGAAAAATAATTATTTCATCATTTTGTGTCAGGATTTTTCATAATTCTAAGGGGCATAATGTCTTCTGGTTGGCATCCATACCAGATGAAAAAAGAAATAGTATATTTAATTCTAGACTGGAAAGGGAAACAGGTTTTCATCACACAGGCCTGCCCTGACAAACCAGCTGCCCACAGGGCTGCACGGGCACAATTCTGGGCCTCCCCAGAAAAGCTTGTTGATTAGCAATGTCTGTAAAGGGTGACAGAGGAAGGAGTAACAGTACATATGCCATGTGTTTGCCATTCTTGCATTAGTTGTATGTGGGTTCCCTACAGTGCTATGAAATGAGCAAGTGTTCAGTTCTGGTTTGGAAGCTAACTTGGAGAGCCTATATGGGGCAACCACAGGATGTGCCTCAGTGAGAGACTTCTTAGCATTATCTTGATCCTACTCTATTTTTAGTGCACACTCTTTCTCTCTTGTAGTAAGGCTTAGAATCTCAAAGTCCATTCTGGCCACAAGATGACTGAAGCTTAGAGCCAAACCCAACACAGTATCTCTTTCTCCTGAATTCAAATAGCTGCTGGTGCTACCATGAAAAAGGTATTTTGACAGACTCCAGCACTCCCAACCCCCTTGCTGGCCCTTCGTCTCCAGTGACATCCTGAGTTGAGCCAGCTCTGGCATGGAGTCAGATAGTGAAGTTCCTCTTGTCCTCCATGGAAGGGAACCTTGGGGACTCATGCACATGGGGTACACCTCATTTGAATCATTGCACTCAATGCATTATATACAGAATTGATAAAGTCTGGTTCAAATTAATTTTACAGGGCCTGAACCCACAAACTAGAAAAATTTTCAGGCTTTAGTATACTGAAAGAACTCAAATAAGATGACTCTTGGTAAAGTGTCATTTTATAGGCCTTTGCTACTGGTTAGAATTCCTAGATGAAAAAAAAAAAAAAATGAGGCAGTACCAAGTGCCAGGAACTCTGACTTCAGACTGAGGGTACACAGGAATGGAAGGCACACACAGGTATATATAATTCTTATACATATGAGGGGTCATAAGATTGAGGGACTTATTAGAAAGAAATGGGAACTAGAAATAGGCAAATGTGGGGAAAACTTGTCTAATATATCATTACCTATCTCACTGAGGTCTGGTTACCCTCTGTCCTTCCTTACCAAAAATGTTCAATTCATTCTATTGCAACATATCATCTCTGGGGACTTATTACTAGGATGACCATACGTCTCATTTCAGCAGGCAGGGGCAGACCTAGTTTCCTGCATAATTTACTAAGAGCACCCTTTTCACTCTTAAAATTGTTCTGGTTTGGATAAGAAATTATATAGTCATACTTTTTATCTCCCATTTCATAATGCAAGCCAAAGAGAGGATGAGACTTGCCTAAGGGAAATATTTACTTTATAAGTAAATTTCCTGGTCCATATCTTTAAAGTGAAGGTTCTGCCTGTACTTGGACTTGCCCTTATTAAGTAGTAGGAAGATGAGACACTACCACGTTTTGGAAGGCTTGGGCCATTCTCCTTTGTACATTTGCCCTCTTCAATTGCAATATGATCAGAAAGGCCAACAGCACAGTCAGGCAGGTCATTCCAGCAGAGCCAAGGATGGCTATAAGCAGCATCTTCCCCCCTCCGAGGTCCGCTGGTGCTGTGCAGGAAGACAGAGGTGAAGCAGGTGGTTTAGTTTATGTAGAGAAACAGACCCACACCATAGGTGGGAGAAGACACAGTGTAATGGGAACTTAATAGCAGCCCTCACCCTGCCACCTAATCACTACATGACCTTGGGCTACTCATTTACATTCCAAAACTCAGTGGAGATGAGTCTGACTCACAGGATTGTTACAAGATTAAAAAAAAAAAATGTGCAAAAGTGCTGTTACAATTAGCAATATGCTAATCATTAGTTGTCATTTGTTCAACTTTTATTTCCAAGTAGAATCCCAAACAGATGAACAATGTTGAATAATAGGGGGAATTACTAGAGGTATAACTTTGAGAGAGTGACTAAACCTGCCTAAACCTCAATTTCCCCACCTAGAAATGCTTTAAAGTTCAATGATGCTAAGAGCTTAGAGTCTATCAGATATTTTGTTCTGTATTTCTTGTTTTAAAGAGTTAATGAAGAAAACCTAATGATACCCAACAGAAGAAGAGAGGGAGGGAGGGAGGGAGGAAGACAGGAAAAGACAGAGGAAAAAACATTAAATTTAGGGCTCAGGCCAAAATAAACTATTAAAGACTATGGTCTAATCTACTTCTTTCCCTTATTTAAATTTAAATAAAATTAAGCTCAATATATTTTGATTAGTAATAGCACACAGAACATGATCCCATCTTCTTAAAAGTATCCCTCTCTTCTCATTTATCTTTTCTTCTGTCTCTATATATGTACAGATACAGAGGTGTCTAGAATGGTGAGAAACTTTTAGTTTTGTCTTGTTTTAAAATTTTTCTCTTGGTATTTTATGGATAGCTTGAATTTAGGAAGTTACATTTCGCCAAAACACAGGTAATTAAAAAAAATGGGGCATTCACTAAGAGTGTGACCTGAAAACCATGATTTTCTCTATTTGGCAGACTCTTCATTCCTTGAACATTTCAAAAATGTTCCAAAGAATCAGCACTGTTAAAGTGACTTGTTTGATTTTGTTTGTTAAGGTCTAGGTAATCCTCCAAGAGAACCGAGAAGTTTTCAGATTTAGTTACAGTATTTTCTGTAAAAATAGACTCTAATCCAAATCATAAACTTTCAAAATTTGCCTCTAACTTGCCTCCATCCACATTCTCTGGCACACATTGTACACAACACAGAGAGCCAGGAGGTGCCTCTGCATAGACTTGAAGTCAATCCTCCTGCTGCAGCTCCACCCACATGGGGCCCTTGTTCACTTAATTACACTCAACAGACTTTATCAATCACAAACCATGGGCACAGTATGGCATCCTGAGAGGATCTCTATCTAGTTCAAAGAACATACTCTTTCTGGGGTTGGGCTTAGTGGTGGACATGGAGACCTAATAACCTGCATCAGTAAAGTAGAAGAAGACTCAGAATTGCACAGTGTCATCCAAGCTAAAAGAGGAGTGTTTGAGGAAGAATGAAACATGGTTCTTGGAGCCTCCTACTGGAGCTCTTGCGCAGCCTGCCTTCTATAAGCAGTTCCCACATTCTTCTCCTTGGAATTAAAATTCATATTCCTTAGAGCTTTCTTCTTAGATTGCTGGATGGGGTATGCTGAAAGACTGATCTATTCTAAGGTTTAACAATAGAAAATGGACCAACAGGGATCCTTTTAAGAGGCATTTTGATATTAAGGACCTCTCTGTAAATGCCTATCCATTCAACCACCGACCTTTCATAGGCTTTCATCTCACAGGCCTGTCCTGATAAACCAGCTGCCTAGAGGGCTGCACGATAATCCTACATAAATACCTGTCCATTCAACCAACCTTCAGATTCTGGGAGGGTCACTAGTTCATGAGAAAAGGCTGGGTTGCTTGACCCTATGTTGTTCTCTGCAAAAATGTCCACCTGGTAAGCTGTTTCAGGCTCTAGGCCCTTGAGCTGATACTGAGTGATGGTGGCATTCTTTATCTTCACATCAATGTGCTGATCTTCATTCTTGCCTTGAACCTTGTAACGGATAGTAATAGAAGAAATAGAATAGCCATCCAATATTGTCCAAGAAATCACAGCCGAGGAGTGTGTGATGTTGGAAATCTTGATGTTTTCTGGTTGAGGAGGAAGAACTAGAAATTAAAAAGAAAAAAGATTCAATTAAGATATACTACCATGTCTTAGATCATTATGCTTTTGAGATAGGGTTCACGTCCCCTCATAAACCATGAAAGGCAAACAGATGTTTCCTCAGATCGTATTCCAATCAATTGGTAGTGGCTACTGGACTCCATGCAGACTTGAAAGAGTGGCACAGTCAGGGAAATGGCAACACACATATCATCTATTAGTCATCTTGACACTAAATAAAGGCCTTAGAAATTGTTATTCCACAAACCTGTGCTTACTATTCTTGATGCTGGGAAGAATGGAAAGCTTATGAGGGCTGGCATTTATATAGTGCTTACAATATGGCAGGCATTGATCTAGGCTCTTGTATATATTAACTCACTTCCTCTTCATAGCAGTCTTTCTGTAAGTGCTGAGGTCTGGACAGATTAAGTGACTTAGCCATGGTGACACTACTGTTAAGTAGAAGAAACAAGATTCACCTCCTGGCAGTCTGGCTCTGTAGTCCATAGTCTTAGTGTCATGTGGTCTGTCCTTGCCCTAAATTTATGGAGCAACTGGCAGGTCAGTGTATACATGAGAAAATGTGCTAATAACTTTTAGTAGACAAAGTATTATAGGGATTTGGGGAAAAGTAGAATCACATTCCATTCAGGGACATAGGCAGGATGAGAAAGAGATGCCTTGAGGTTTTCTACATGTGGAGATGGCAGGCACCGCATCATCACTACATTCTCACTCAAACTCCAAAGGGCACAGGCTAGAAGGGAAGTTCATGACCCGATAAAGGTTAAGCCTATTTGATCCGGGAAAAGAATGGATTTGAGCTCTTGTCCTTAATAGTAACTGAACTTACATTTATGAGGCTATTTACAATGTGCTTCCACATGCAGACACTCTCTTGACTTGTATAACCACACAGTACTGAGATTTTTATGATCCACATTTTAGAGATGAGAAAACTGAAACTTCAAAAATTTAAGGGTTTTGTACTCGTCCCAAAAGGTGAATAGTAGACGTAGGCTATTTCATTCCATACACCATTGTTTTTCCACATGAAAGTTACTACTTATAAACAAATTAGAACCTTTGAGAAGTATCTCAAGGTACATCCTTTCTATTTTAAATTTCTTCTTTTCATTATGTTGATTCCCCCTTGTTACTCTTTAGGGCACTATGGCAATTTATGAGAATTAGGTATTGGATTTAGAACCTTCCAAATCTAATTGTTATGTTCTATGTCTAGCAGGTGGTACAGTATCCAAAAATCACAATTAATCATCAGTATGTCTTAACTTTCTTTACATCCAGTACCAAGTATTTTGTATAGTTTTATAAAAATATACAATAGTCTTTCTTCCCACAGGAGATTGAAGGGGTGATAGAAATACCAACATTTTCAGATTACTATCATCACATATTTATATTTGTATAGTTGTGGCTCAAAAAAATTTAACTTCATAAACCAGTGGTCTTCTAAGCCTGTCACAAAAAGTAGCAGTGTCTTTTAGATGATTGTTAGAAAAATAATGAATATAATTTTTGTGCCAACTAAAAATCATAAATTTGCATCTACCAACTTATCCATTTTATGCTTGAAAGGAGTCACTCTTAGGGATAGCTCAATAAACCTTTGATTTAAATTCAGTGGGTCTGGACCCAGCAATCTACATTTTAGCAGGTTCTCTGGGTGACTCTAAAATAGCTTCTAAAATGCTTTAGGAAACACTAACCAGACCTTAAACAATTTAGAAATAGGATATCACTACTAAAGAACCTCTAGAACCATAGTTGCTTTGAAGCAGTGGGTTGCCCATCCAAAGAGACAAGTGGAAGACATTTGTAGCGTGGTTGGAGAAAAAACAAAAAAAATAGAAATAAAATGTGGATTAGAATCCTAATCCATCCCCATGCCGTACTAGTTCCATAATTTTGGGCAAGTCACTTACCCTCTTCTGTGCCTCAGGTTCCTCATCTGTTAAATGTGATAATCACTCTTACTCTACCTTCCTCAAAAAGTCATTGTAAGGGTCAAATACTCCCCATGTAAATGTTTTCCAACAGGAAAACATAACACACATATATTATTTTTAACATATAATTGGGGTGATATGCCAAATCTAATTCACTCCACTTCTTACCCCTGGACAAGATGGAATTGCTAGGCTGGAAACCAACACAAACTTTGTAATTGGAAGTATTAATTTTACTTGTGAATATACATGATCAGCCAAGGACAACACAGCATATTAACAAATATTTTCAGGTAAAAATGAGATGTTCCCATTCACATCCTCCTTCCTCAGATTTCCTGACCCCACAGGGATCAAATCCTACCCTGCCAATCTCACATCCCTACTACCACCACCAGCATTGACCCTCCATCAAACTTCATACAACCATCCAAGGCAAGTTGACTCCCAGTAACTATTAACTAGTTTTTGTTTAATCCTATAAATATGATACTGGTAGTGTGATTTTGAGAGTGTATCATTCTAATGAGGATGAAACTTACATAGAATAGTGAGTGAGCACCTAAGACAATTTTGAAATAGGAAACAGTGATTCATCCCACAGTTACTGACATTTCACAAGTCTCTAGTTAATTTGAATATGCTAGAAATTGTGCCGGAACAAACAGATCAATGGAAGAGAACAGAACACCCAGAAATAGATGCAAAATGAATATGAGAACCTGGCATATGATACAGAAAGCATCACAGTTCACCATGGGGACTACTCAATACGTGGCATTGGGACTACTGACATGCCATATGTGAATAAATAAGGTTAAAATAAAAGTATTAAAATATACTGTACCCCAAAATAACAATCCTATATCTTAAAGACCTAAATACACAAAACAACACTAGAACTACTAGGAAAAACACACAGAATATGTTTATGACCTTGGGATAGGGAATAATTCCAAAATGCAAAAAGTATAAATCATACAGGCAAATACTGACAGGTCCAATTGCATCAAAATGTCAAGTGTCTGTGGGTTAAAAGCCACCATAAACAAGGTTACAATAAAGGGAGTAGAAGAATATATTTGCAATATACATAACAAAGTATTTAGATTACACAAATAATTTTTACCAGTCAGTAAGACGACCTATTCCAAATGAGCAAAGGATATCAATAAGTATATCAAAAAAGAGGACATCCAGATAAACAATTAACATAAAAAGATGCTCACCTTTGCTAGCTATCAAGGAAATCAAAATTGAAATTAACAACGAGGTACCATATTTTGCTTTTGAGATATGTGAAAATAAAAAGGTGTGACACTATCGAGTGATGGAGGGAAAGGATATAGACACAGAGATGGGTATAAGGAAAACGGCACTGCCATACGCTCCTGAACATAGTATACACTGACTAACCACTTTAGAGGGAAATAACCCATGAGTTCCACCACTGGACCTGTTCCCTAGAAAAACTCTCACACCTGTCTATGCGCATGGAGACATGCATAAGAATGGGCATTGCATTTTGTTCATGATAGTAAAAAATGAAAAAACCTACATCTCCATCTAAAAGGGAGTGGATGAATCACAAGATACATTCATAAGACAGACTAGTATACAGAAGTTACAATGGCATGCATCCAAGCTAAATAAATTAACATGGATAGATAAAATTAATAATGTTCATTCAAAAAATGGAGAATGATATGTATGCATGTGTATACTTTCAGAGGTATTAAAATTATAGAACAGGGCACTTGGCACAGTGGCTCATGCCTGTAATTCCAGCACTTTGGGAGGCGAAGGCGGGAAGATTGCTTGAGCCCAGGAGTTCCAGACCAGCCTAAGCAACATAGGGAGATCCCATCTCTCCAAAAAGTTTTTGAAAATGAGTCAGGTGTGGTGGCGTGTGCCTGTGGTCCCAGCTACTCAGGAGGCTGAGGTGGGAGGATTGCTTGGGCCCAGGAAGCCAAGGCTGCAGAAGCCATAATGGCACCACTGCTCCCCAGCCTGGGCAACAGAGCAATAACCTTGTCTCAAAATATATATATACACACAACATTAAATGGAAATATACTTAACAAACCCATAATTTTGGTTGTCTCTTGGGAGAGGGGAATAGAAATGGAATGGGGTAACAGTTGCGGGAGATATTGATACACCTGCAGTGGGTTATTACCCCTGTTAAGTCAACAACAAAATGCTGAAAGCAAATATGACAAAATGTTAACAGTTGTTAATTCTGGATGGTAGGAATGTGATTGTTTGTTGTGTTACTGTTAGCATGATTCTGCACCTTGGAAATTTCACAGAATTAAAAAATTCATATGAAGAATCCCTAAACACTGGCAAAACAATTCAGACTTTCATATGTCACTGATGCAATAAAAGAGTGGCTGGAGAAACACTAAGCCAGCTTCCACACCTGTTCCTGAGGAAGTGGAGAACCAGCTGCAAAGAGAGCCTCAGACTCTGGGAGCTGGCAAGGGACCACATAATCTCCCATGCAGGCTTGACCCTGCTTAGCTTCCAGGATCAACGAGATTCAGCGTGTTCAGGGTGGTAAGGCCACAGACCGCATGATCCTGACTTAAGTGGTAGTGTGTGTGGCCAAGAAATAGTTTATCTTTCCAAGGGTTCCAAATGCACACAGTTCTAATTTCAGTGCATCAAAATCAAACTCTCTGCTTGGTGATGAATAGACTTTCAAATACTACAAAGAAACCCAAGGAATTCCCATTAATTTTAAATGACCAATCTGAAATAGAGAAAAGCCTGAAATGCAAAATACTTTGAAAAAAAGTCATTTTATTACTCTTAGATTTAACTTTTAAAATTACCTGTTTTCAAGGGGTTTCAAGCAAAGTTATTTGGTTTTTAAGATTAGGAAAGATCCATCTGGAATTAACTGACATCTATGTACATGTAGATATATGATGATTCTTCAAAACTACCCCATAAATGGTTCAACAAGCCCTAGAAAACCTTCTTCTTGTTACTAATTTACTAAATAAACAACTACACACCAAGGGAAGGTAAATTTTAGCACAGCCCCGCCTGAATTATTGCAAATCCAAACATATGTTATATATTGCAAGTTATTAAAATGATTAGGTGGGGGGCGCTAATTAGCCTTCTCTCACAACCAACTTTCTTTCACAATTTCCAATAGACTTGAAGTGATGTTAGCTAAGTCTGAATGGCGGTAGCCCCTTATTGCTCAGATGAGGCTGGAGCAGCATGAATTACTTACTGTCACTAAGGGTCCAAGCAGTGAGATCTTCACTCCATTCCCCCTGGGCCTTGGTGTTAACTCTAGCTCGGACCACGTACTGCTCCCTGGGATGTAAGTTGTTAAGTAGCACTGAAGTCAAGTTGCCTGGAACTTTAATATTCTGCTGATCACTTTTTTGCACAGACCTTCTCTCCACTTCAACATAAAAGTCATCTTCCGAGCTTGGAAATATTGGTTGCCAGGTCAAATTTAGAGTGGTCTGACTTTTAGGCAGGAGATTTAGACCTCTTGGAGGAGGGAGTCCTAGGAGAATCCAGAAAAATCATTATTTTTATAATACAGTTGATATAGTTTGGATGAATGTCCCCACCCAAATCTCATGTTGAAATGTAATCCCCGATGTTGGAGATGGGGCCTGGTGGGAGGTGATTGGCTGATGAGGGTGACTTCCCATGAATGGTTTAGCACCATCCCCCTTGGTGCTGTCCTCCTGATACCGAGTGAGTTCTGATGAAAGCTGGTCATTTAAAAGTGTATAGCATGGCCCCCCTCACTCTTTTGCTCCTGCTTTCACCATGCAAAGTGCCTGCTCCCACCTTGCCTTCTGCCACGAGTAAAAGCTCACTCAGGCCTCCCCAAAAGCAGATACTTCCTCTATAGCACGCAGAACCATGAGCCAATGGTTACTGTTTTTACTGTTTGGTTTGGTAAAAAGCCAAACCTCTTTTCTTCTAAATTACCCAGTCTCAATTATTTCTTTATAGCAATGCAAGTACAGACTAATACAAGGGTGGAGGCAATGACAGTGCTAAAGGGCACCTTTTAAGAGTAACCTTGGCTTCTAGAATAATATACAACTTCATAAGCTATCAAAGAAACACAAGCAAGTGGCCATATGATACTTTTTTTCCTACCAAAATGATTCATTACATTATTTATATTAGCAAACAATTGGAAGAAACCTAAACACTCAAAATAGGAAACTGCTTTAATAAATTATGATACAGCCATCCAGTGGAAAAATAGATAATTAGGAAAAGTATGAAAGCCCAATAAAAAGACTTCAACTGCATGTAGACATGGTAAAAGTTATGTCTACAATGGTGAAGGATAGGAAGGAAACTGATAAAAATCAAAACAGTAGATTTGCCAAGGTTATGGGATTATGGGCGAGTATTTACCGTTTCTGTTACCATTTTGAGCAATACATTGTAAAGCAATTTGGGGGTTCCTTCCCCTTAGCAAGAATTTCAGAAATCATACAGCTGTGGTGGCAGGGCCAGGCCTATTCCTGCTCTGATCACATCAAGGTATCCGCCATGACTACGTGATGCCTGGCCATAATCACCCACAGGAGCCTGGGCTACCAAGACGTCATTGAATAGAAATAATATGGGTTTTAAAATCAGAGAGACAGGAACATGCCACTTTACTTTTGCAACCTTGGACAAATCCATAATCTCTCCAAGTTCACCTGTAAAATAAAATTAAAATATCCATCTTCCAGACTCAGGAGTAATAAGTGAGACAATGGATGTGAAAATGCTTGGAAGGTGTTAGAGGCTCTATTAACATTGGTTTCCTCCCTCCCTTCCTTCTTTCAAGATGTCCTACGTCACTGGACAAAGGAGGAAATAGTGTGTTTTCAGTTAATAATGGTAAACTGATTTTTTAATTCCGGATATAAAGTCCTTCCAAAACGTAGGATAGAGATCCTCTAATTCATGCATTCTCAGTAGGGACACAATCACCCCTATGGGGCAAAAAAGTCATTCTTGGTGCATGAGAAAATTTCAGATTACTACAGTTGTTTACAAAGGACCATAATACAGAAACAGAAACAGAGCATATCTGTGGTATTAAAATTTCATGGGAGGCAGGATCTACTCGGACAAACGTATGTGAAACAGCTCACTGGGGATGAGCAATACTTTTTTTTTTAAAAGGTTGAGAAACACTGCTCTTACTCTCGGTTCGAGGTGAGAAGAAGGGTCTGTCTCCATCTACTGGGAATTAAGTCCCACCAGCCCGGTTCTGACTACCCTCAGACTAGTGAGAACCAGCAGCCAGGCATGCATTTGCTTGGCATTATGCAAAAGGTCTGATGGCCCTTTCTCTGTAACCTTTGCAAATGGAGAGAGGTGATGTCATCTCCTCTTGTTAACCTCTGAAGTTTAACCTCCAAAATAGCCATCCAGAGTGGTTTAGGCAGGTTTGCAATGACAAGGGAGAATGGGGAGTTGATATTTTGGAGAATACATGTATACCTCCCAATCCTGTGCCTGGTACAGAAGAGTAACCCAACAAATAGTCATTTCCCCTTTTCCTTCCCTTTGGGAACATGATTACCCCATACCCCTCCCTGTCTGCCCCTTTCTGCAATATGTTCAGAAAGTGTTCTCTTCCTTCCCCTCCCGGACTCCCTGGCCTTCACCACCTCAATCAACACACATCAACAGTGCAACTGCCAGATGAAATGAAAAGCAAACATCAGCAAAATTCAAATGATGGGAAAAGAAGAACCTTCAATAATTCCCTTCCCGCCTATCCCTGAGAACTGCTTTGAAATATTCTGAGACCCCTCCTGGCTGGAACATATTCTGAGGGCAGAAGACAGTACAGTGTGGGGCTGTGTTTTATGTTCTGTTCCATAAATACTTTCCATCTGAGTCAGTCTATGACCTTCCCCTTTTGACTCACCAACAGTGACTTGAGAGAGAATTAACTACCATTTGCCTTTTAGCAGTATCATGATGACGTGTCAGGGATCTCTTGGGTCATGGTTGTAGAGGTCCCTTTTTTCCGCTCTATATAGTTTCTGGGTTTATTTTCTATATTCACAACCTGGTGGGCCCCCAAGAAGCCATTTCTTACTTGTGTGTAATGCTTCTATAAGCCTCAGAGTAGCTTTTGAGTCTCATTAAGTTCTTTAAGGATGCTGCTAGTAAAATAAAAACTAGGTGGGTGGTGTGAAGAAAAGATGTTTCTGTTAAGGGTGCACACACAATCTCCGCAGAAGAAAAGTGGATGTTCTTCCTAGTTTTTTCACTCGATCATAACATATCCTTCTGCCTTTAGTAAATGGAGTAAAACACAGGCAAATCTGTGAACTGGGATAAGAAGCTGGTGCCTTTGGGATTCTAGGTAGAAATAATAACTGGAGAAACAAAAGGATATGGAGCCTGGACTGGGAGTGGTGGTTCATCCCTGTAATCCTAACACGTTGAGAGGCCGAGGCTGGGGGACTGCTTGAGGCAGGAGTTTAAGACCAGCCTGGGCAACACAGCAAGACCCCGTCTCTACAAAAAAAAATTTAAAGTAGCCAGATGTGGTGGTGTGCCTGTAGTCCCAGCTACTCGGGAGGCTGATGTGGGAGCATGACTTGAGCCCAGGAGATAGAGACTGTAATGAGTGATGATCAAACCACTGTACTCCAGCCTGAGTGACAGAGCAAGATCCTGGCTCTAAAACACAAAGATATAAAGCCTGAAGATTTAGTATGGTGATGCATCTTACTGTTATTAAGTACTCTGAGTCTCTACTTTTCAATCTATAAAATAGGGAAGATGATAATTCTTACTTTCCTAGGTGATACAAATTAAATATATATGAAGTTGAAAGTATAAAGCACTGACCAAGAGATAGTAACAGAATGGTTATACACAGTGAACAATTCAAAGAACCAGAATGAAACCTTACAAAAGATCACTCCAGTATTTCAATGGAGGGTACCTGGGTAACAGAAAGCCGGAAGTCAGGTTAGCATCAAGGAGGCTTCACAAAGTTAACGCGATAGAAGGCCAATCAATACAAAACACCACTGATAAATCAAGAAATAATTTTACACATGTTATCTAGAACATGTGGACCCAGGACCAGCAGCATCAAGCATCACTTGGGAACCTACTAGAAATGCAAAATTATTGAGGCCGGGGTTCATCCTCACCTCGAAACCATTGAATCAGAAACTCTGGGGATGAGGCCCAGAAAAAACTTTTTTTTTTTTTTTTTTTTTTTTTTTTTAACGGAGTCTTGCTCTGTCCCCCTGGCTGGAGTGCAGTGGTGCGATCTCGGCTCACTGCAAGCTCCGCCTCCCAGGTTCCTGCCATTCTCCTGCCTCAGCCTCCCAAGTAGCTAGCTGGGACTACAGGCGCCCGCCACCGCGCCTGGCTAATTTTTTGTATTTTTAGTAGAGACGGGGTTTTACCGTGGTCTCGATCTCCTGACCTTGTGATCCATCCACCTCGGCCTCCCAAAGTGCTGGGATTACAGGTGTGAGCCACCGTGCCCAGCCCAGAAATATCTTTTAACAAACTCTCTGAATGATTCTGATGGACACTTATGTTTGAGAACCACTGATTTAGAAAAGGGAGGTAAATATGATAAGAAACAGCTTAAGGAGATGAAAGTGGCTACCTATAGGAAGCAGGACTGGGAGGTGGAGGGTGGAGCAGGGGAATGTTCTTCAGATAAAAGCTTCTTATTCTATTTGATGTCGTGACTCTGCACATGAATTACTTTGAAAAATTAGAAATTATTTTTGAAAATAAATAAACTGGGACTTCTGAAATATGCCTGTGGCAGGAGCCTGGCCTGGGCCCTTAAGATGGAAACAGGAAGCCAGTGATAAAATGCAGGAGCTGAGGCTCAGCACAGTTGCTGCTGTGTAAATCCCAACTCCTAGGGGAGGCCCTGCCTTCCTGAAGGCTCATCTGCTTCCTTCTCTGTCCCTACAGAGTGTGGCAGACCTCCTCCCCCAGGGAGACAGACCAGGAGTCCAACCCAAATAAAGGAACAGTTTGGCTTGAAGTTGCTAGCCTTCCTGTCACTTTCCCACCCATTCAAAAGCAAACTCCTGCCACCTCCATCCCCACCCACCCACTCACCCACCACCACCCTTCCTGGTCTTCCTTCCTCTTTCCCCTTCCTCTCCCTCCCACCCAGCTCATGAATAAATGTGAGCTGGCTTCCACTGACCGATAGAAGCTGTTGTGAAGCGTCTCACAGGTCCAGGATGCCCTTCCCCACCCTCTCCACGACGGACCAGTTGCACGCAGAGTTCATATTCTGTTCGAGGTTCCAAATGGTTGAGTGTAACAATCTCATTTGTCACTGAGAAGAGAAAAAGTCCAGTAAACTTAAGTTGGCATTCTCTTACATTCCTTAAGCCAGGGTTGTTGTTATTGTAATGGGAGCTAATTTTAGGTTTTCAAAACTATGTCTTAGTGAAGCAGAGAGGCAATTCCATCTTCAAGGCCTCATCCTTCCTAATATGAGGAAAATTAGGCTTTTGAAATGTTTCCAGGTTACAATGTACGCATTCAAGTGTGTATTTCGGTGCCACTTACACATTTCTGCCCTGGTGCTTTTGTCTTTTCATTTGTAGAATAAAACCTCACAAATCTTCTACTATATGGAATACCAGATTTGGGGAATACTCAATTAGAATAAAATAATTTAATTGCTACTGTTTTCAAGTATGTTCACTGATTGCAATCAAGCTATCGAGAAAAAGATGCTCAGGAGGTTTGCTCAAAATGACCAGATAACTGATTTGTAATGGTCATACTATCACAATGGAGCATTCTGAAGTCCTTGACAATAGTACCCATAAACAAATGGTATCTGCCTCTTTTCTCCTTACCTATTTGCTTTAGTCAGCCTCTGTTTCTCAATGGATATTGCAAAGATAAATTTCTGCCTTACCATATGATAAATTCCTACTTGGTAAGAAAAAAACTGGGATGTGTTTAACAGTTCTTAGAAGACCACTTTGTCAATGTCCACTTGTAGAAAAAGGTGATGCATTATTACCACCATATGACAGCAAAAGACCTAGCCACTGATGTTGGAAACAGCAATTCAGCAAATCAGCCTGACATCCCTGGAATTCTGAATTTTGATAGAATCTACAATAGTACATGAAGGACTCAGTAATAATACCATTTTATCCGGTCTACCCGGGTCAGCTAGTGTTATTCAGCCCAAAACCCTCCTCCTCTTCTCTTTTTTTTTTCCTGGAGTTTCCTTAATTACCTCCATATAGTGAATAGAGGGTCATTTTAAGGAAATCATAGGCATAGTAAGACAAAGGTATGGGCGGAGGAGGACATGCTGCCTACAAGCATGATAGTGGCAGGTCTTTTCATAGGATGGTCCAATGGAAGCAGCATGGTCACTGATAATGCTGCCTTTGCTTTTTAAAATTGTGATTTTACATTATCATGCAACAAATGTAATTTGTGTTTCAAAATAAATTCAACTGTTTTCATGAGCTTTTGGCATTTTGTCACATTTTGTTCAATTATTTTTTTCTTTCAGGAAGTTAGGGGAGGGGCCTGTAGCTCTCTTTGCCTGTCCTTGTCCTCCCCGCAGCCCGTTCCAGTCTGCCACAGCCCAAACTTTGCAGGTTCAAATTCCTTTAAAAATTTCTCTGTGTTAAGAGTCTGCAGGACAGGGCAAGACATGAAATGAGAAAAGGAATAAGCAACTCAATACAGCAGCAACAATCACCCCCAGGATTTAGGCAGATTAAGCCTCTCTGCCCTTCATAGCAGACTCTGGACTTTCCTGCTACCATATTCATGGTGTAAACAAGTGTCTTTCACGATGACCAGGCAAGACAGAATAACTAAAAACAGGACTGGAGATCCAGAAAGAAATATTGATATAGATATAACTCATGGTGTGAGCTGGTTCTGTGTTCCAGAGCACACAGTGACTTCCAGAAAGTTAGAGGCCAGAGCTCAGAGGCCCCCTGCACTCTCTCTTGAATACTCTGAAATGGAATCCTCTACAACAGCCACCACCTTGGGGTAGAGGATTGAGGCAGGGAGAAGGGAATTTCTAGATTTGGAGAAAAATATTTCTCCTGGTGCCACATCCCCAGCGGGCATCTATCCTGTCCAAAGCTTACCTTGAATATGTCGCCAAGCCTCATAGTGATTAACTGGTTTGTATAGAAGCTTCTTGGATTTGATTGGTCCATCCCCAAAGTAAGGCTCAGAGCTGATGTTGATGACAGCAAAGTTATGTCCAGTGTCAATCACGTTTGGGGCATTCAGGGGCTTTGGAAGAACTAAATACAATTTCAGAAGACAAATTAGTCCTTCGGCTTTGAGGTTTGATTGTTCTTAGGTGGAGGTAAAAGATGTGTTTTACATGTCCGACAAAGTCCTCTTAAAGTTTTCTGCCCAGACTCAGGGAGATCACCTGCTCTCTAAGCTCTCTGCTTTGCTTTTGCTTCCCCAACCCATTATCCTCAAAGTGCTTCCTTAAAATAAATGTGCCCCTTTACTCAAGACCCTTCAATGGATTCTTATCACATGTAGGATAAAACCAAAAATTCATACCATGACTAGCCAGGCCTTGAGCCATTGAGCCCCTGCCCACTCTCCAGCCTCCTCTTCCCCTCACCTAGTAACCTCCAATCCCATTGACCTTTCCCTTCATCCAACTAACAAAGCATGAACCTCCTTTCCTTAGATTCTTTGTGGATGCTACTCTCCTGCAAGGAATGCTTTACCTCCCATTATTCTCCCAGTTAATTCTTAGCTCTGATGTGCATATTTCACAGGCGGCTATCATAGAACCTGAATTAAGGTATTGTATGCTTCCACAGAACCTCTACTTTTCCTTCATGGCGATTTTTAGAGTTTATTACTCTTTGTAGTATGATTATTTGATTATTTGATATTGGTCTTCTAGATCATCATTCATATTCTCTCTCTCTCTCTCTCTATATATATATATATATATCTTTCAGCCAAACAACACAAATTTATTATAGTTCTAGAAGTCAGAAGTCAGACATGGGTCTCGCTGTGCTAAAATTAAGGCGTTAGGAAGGTTGTGTTCCTTTCTGGAGGCTTAGAAGATAATCTGTTTCCTTGTTCTTTCTAGCTTCTAGAGACTGCCTGCATTCCCTGGCTCAAGGCTCCTTCCTACGCCTTCAAAGTCAACAACATCAGGCCTCTCTGATCCTTCTTTGACCACCACGTCTCTGACTATTGTCAGGAAATTTCTCTACTTTTAATGACTCAAGGGATTGGAGTGGGTCCACTCAGATAATCTACAACAATCTCCCCGTCTCAAAGACCACGTATTCTCTTTTTTTTTTTTTTTTTGAGACGGAGTCTCGCTCTGCCACCCAGGCTGGAGTGCAGTGGCTGGATCTCAGCTCACTGCAAGCTCTGCCCCCTGGGTTTAGGCCATTCTCCTGCCTCAGCCTCCTGAGTAGCTGGGACTACAGGTGCCCGCCACCTCGCCTGGCTAGTTTTTTGTATTTTTTAGTAGAGACGGGGTTTCACCGTGTTAGCCAGGATGGTCTCAATCTCCTGACCTCATGATCCGCCCGTCTCGGCCTCCCAAAGTGCTGGGATTACAGGCTTGAGCCACCGTGCCTGGCCAAAGACCACGTTTCTCAATGGGGATAACAGCGCCCCCAAAACAATGAAAATTGGTTCTTGGAGGATGCAAAAATTTTAGATATTACGATGGGTTGAAGCCTGCCAAAGAGCCATACATAGTACATAAAGAGATATAAAGTACATATGTGAAAATAAAATTTTATGGTGATGAGGGAGAGTTCTGGAATAAAATTTCTAAAAGGGCTTAGTGGGATGATAATAAAAAGGTTATGAAATATCACACCACACTCTAAATTCCATTAGGGCAAAGACCGTGTAGTTTGTTCACCAGCACCAACTAGGTGCTGAATTATTGTTTGTCAACTGAATTTCCAGTGAGCTCTGTAGTTCCCTTGGCCCAGCCTTCTCAGAAATGCATAACTGGTTTTGTTTTGCCTCCCCAAGAGTGTAATTATACAATGCAGAACCTTTCGGATTTCAGAGGACATTGCAACGTTCAGTAATTTTTCTTTTTCTTTCTGTCTCAGTGCTTTGACTCACCTTCCTTAGAAATGACCTTCAAGTCTTTGCTCAAATATCTTCTGAGGAAGCCTTGACTACCCTATTTAAAATTACAGTCACCACTCCAGCCCTGCCCCAGCATTCTCTACCCCCATTTCTGCTTTGTCTCCAAGACACTCAGCATTTTAGTGAACTGTACATTTTACTTATTTATTTGCTCACTGTTTATCTCCCTGTGGGAATGTAAGCTCCACGATGAGTTTTTTTTCCCCTTGTATTATTCACTGCTCTATTCCCAGTGCCTAGAACAGGGGCTGAAACATAATAGGCCTAAAGTAAATTCTGTTGACTAAGTGACGACTTAGGAAGTTGTCCAAGGTCAGGATAATAAACCCAGTAAGAAGCAGTATCCCCTAACTGGAGGCAGAACGTGCCAGCGTTAAGTTAGATAAGTCTGAGTACGCATTTCACTTAGGCTGGAAAGGAGGGCAGTGCTGTGAGTACATTGGTTCAAGTAATGCTTTCCTTGTATGATAACATAAGGCCACCCCTTTCTTTAAACCAGCAGATGCACATTTTATTACAGCCATTAATGCCAGTCTGTAGTACTTTTACAAGGGCTTAAAAATCGCTACAAAGGCTTCCTCTTAGTAATATATCATTTTATTTTTTTGCCTTTTAATCATTTTTACTGAGATGGAACATACATATTGTAAAGTGCAAATATCTTAAGTGTATTTATCTCAAGGGACTTTACCTATGTGTACACCCATGTAACCACCACGCAGATTAAGATAGAGAATATTCCCAGCCTTCCAGAAGGCACCTGTGTTCCCTTTTCCAGTCAATATCCTCTACCCAGAGGTAGCTACTATTCTGACTTCTGTGACTGAAGATTAGTATTGCCTGTTCTTTAGCTTTATATAAATGGAATCATAAAGCATGTACTTTCTTTCACTGGTAATCAGGTTGGAAAGATTCATCCATACTGTTGCAGAAATTAATTCTTTTTTATTACTCTTTAATATTCTTCTGCATGATTTTATGGGCTAAATTGTTTTCCCCCCAAATCACACGTTAAAGTTTTAACCCCTGGTACCTCAGGATGTAACCATGTCTGGAGATAAGGCCTTTAAAGAAGTAATTAGTTTAAAATAAGTTTATTAGGGTGTGCCATAAACCAATATGACCGGTGTCCTTATAAGAAGATTAAATTAGGACACAGGTAGAAAGGGAAGACCCTGTCCCTGTGTCCTAATTTAATCTCCTTGTGAAGATATAGGGAGACAATGGCCATCTACAAGCCAAGGAGAGAAGCCGCAGAAGAAATAAACTCTGTTGATGCCTTGATCTTGGACCTTTAGCCTCCAGAATTATGAGAAAATTCCTGTTGCTTAAGCCACCCAGCCTGTAGTAGTTTGTTACAGCAGCCCTAGCAAACTAATACATATGAATATACTACAATTTGTGATTAGTGTATCCTTTCTAATGTTGATGGACATTTGAGTTAATTTCAGTTTGGGGCTACTATGAATACAACTGCTCTGAACATTCTTGAAGATGTCTTTTTTGAACATAATACAGCCATTCTTTTGAGCATATACCTAGGAGTGGAATTGCTGGTTCATAGGGTAAGTAAATGTTTAGGTTTAGTACATGTTGCCAGTTTTCCAAAGTAATTGTACCAATCTGTACACTGGTGTTAAAGCCTAGTATCTGTTTTTTTAAATACTATAATAAAAGATGCTGATTAAATTGATTACATTCCCTAATGGCTATTTACATTTTATGGCTGCCAGTCAATGTGACAGCAAAGAGACAGCAGTGACTTAAGACTGGAGACGCTTCTACACATTGATGTTGTGTGCTGTGTCTTTCACTACAAACTAAAAACTAGACCCAGTGACTCTTCTGTGTATTCACCACATGGTTTGTTTTGGATGTATGTCCATGGGTAGCAAACATTCCCAGAAGTTTAAAAGTAGGGTAATTTTTCTTGTCTGCATATCATTTCCTTTCTTCCAAGAACATGCAAGATGCAAGAAATGATTTTGATCATGTGAATGTTCTACCAAATAAAACAGATTTGGGCTTTTTCCTATAACCAAAAGTACGAATAAGAAGAAGGATTCTGAGATGGTTCATATGGATTCTCAGGGCACAGAATCCAAATCTATGAGGGTTGCATTTATGCTACTGTTGTTACTGGCCTTTAAAACATAGATTATGTTCTGAGTATTTACAGCATTTCATTTATGGAAGTTACCTCTGGGATCTCCCAAGTGATTACTAGTGAAGTAATGAAAGGGGGCCAAATACAAATCAACTTTGGTCACCTCACAGTCTCCCCCTCTGTTACACAAGAGACTCAGAAAGCAAAATGGGCCAGAAGAGACAGTGCTGGGTTTGGAGTCAGGAGATCCAGGTTTAATACTAAGATGTGTGCTTATAATCTCTGCTACTGTATAAATTGACCCTTTGTATCCGTGGGTTTACATCTGTGGATCAGCCAACCGTGGATCAAAAATAGTCAGAAAAAAAATTGTGTCTGAACATGTAGACTTTTTCTTGTCATTATTCTCTAAACAATACAGGATAGCAACTATTTACAGAGCATTTACAATGTATAAGAAATTACAAGTAATCTTAGCCTAGTGCCTTTCCTAGAATATATGCCAGAGAGCTGTGAGGTATTCTTGTCTAAACAGGTGCATAAGTAACTTGCGGATTTAAAATTCCTTGCTGTAGCTACGTACACCAGCCAAGTTAACGTGGACTTACCTCCATTTTAGTTCTTCCACTCAAGCCACAAATCTACATACAAACACTCACATTAATTTGAATTTTGAAATACTAATTTATAGCAGGAAAAATGCCCACAGCCCTGAATGTGAAAAGATATTCATGTTAATTATATAGCATAGGCTGGGCTTCTTATTAAGTGAGTAATCCTCAAAATAGGGATTCTCCAAACAATTCTCTACAATAATGAAAAGGAAGTCACAACGACAGTGCTAACCTTCTTGTGAAATATAATCACTACCAGATAATGTTGTGCCAGACACAATTCCAAGTATTTTATGTGTTTAACAAGGCTTCACAATAACCCTAAGAGGTACCTACATTATGCTTCATTTACAAATAGAGAGAGACTCAAAAAGGTAAATTTATTTGGTCAAGGCCACCCACAAGATTATGAGCTGTTTGAGACAACATCAAACCCGGGGCTGTGGGACTCCACAGTGCATACTCTTAATCTCTTCACTCTGGTTTCATGCATATAATGTTTTAAAGGCTTAGTATCCTGGAAATTACCTCCAAGGTATTTTAGTGGTCGCATACCTTTCCGTCTAGAAGCAGCATCTTTTCCCAGCAATACAAAAACATAGTGCCTCAAGGATACAATCCCTTTTTCTGGAAAATGAACTTACCTTTAACAGAAATGTTGAAGGGCTTTTCCACCATCCCAGCCACTGTGTTCGCACTGCAGACCCAAACTCCTGAGTCAGGGGGGAGGATCCGGTGGATGGTGAATATGGCTACTGAGAAATGATCCGTATGGTTAAAGTCTTTTGGCTGGAAAGGTCAAATACAAAAAAATAAAAACTTCTAGGGAGGCATAAACACAAAGGTCCATAACACTGACCCCATCTCATTGTTTAATAAGAAGTTTCCTAGGAGAGATCAAGAAGCTAAATGTAATGCTAATATAATCATTGGCTTATTTCCAAAGCTATTGTAGTAGCCCTGAAAGTTTATTTTGGATTGATGCCCTGTCAGATCCTGCTGTTGTATTTGTGTGTTTGGGAGTGTGGGGTAAACACTTACAAGCAAGACGCCTGAAGCATGATTTCTTTTAAACTACTCCTTGTAAGATTTGTTCCTTTCCTATCTAATACAGAAATGGCTGTGTGGGAGGATAAAGTGACTTCCTAAGTGTTTGAGAGGCTATTAAGTGTGGAGTACTGGAAAAATCCAGGGTTCTGAAGACAGATGGACCTCTGCCATTCTTTTTTTTACGAGATAACACAGTCTTGTTCTGTGGCTCAGGCTGGAGTGCAGTTGAGTGATCATAGCTCACTGCAGCCTCAAACTCCTGGCCTTAAGTGATCCCCCCACCTCACCCAAGTAGCTGGGACTACAGGTAAATGCTATGTCCAGCTAATTATTTTTTAAGAGATGGGGTCTTGCTATGTTGCCCAGGCTGGTCTCAAATTCCTGGCCTAAAGTGCTCCTCCCACCTCAGGCTCCCAAAACACTGGGATTACAGGCATGGGTCACCATATCTGGCTTCTTTGCCATTTTTGACCAACTCCTTAGTTACTTAACTTCACCCAGCCAGTTCCCACTTCTGAGAAAAAAAAAAAGAGAGAGACTCGGCAATGTTAAGTAAGAAGTTACATATAGTTATGGTCAACTTTACTACATAGTAGCCATTACTTTCATTAACTCATGAAAAAGCCAACAAGATTTTGGAAGCCATCAATTGGCTTCTTCTACCTGATGGGTTGTTTGAGTGGAATCAGGGACATTTGAAATGTGGACCCTGGTAATGGTACATTCTACATATTCTTCCCTCAGAAGGTCACTCATACTGCCTCTGGTCAAGCTGATTTGGGTCATCTATCTTTGATAGAAAAATAGGATAATAGGTATTTCTAAAATTTTAAATAAAAAAAAAAATACATCAATATCCTAAAGATCACTTTCAACATAAGAGAAATTTGGGGGGGCTCCCGTCTCTGCTGCATTTGGTATAGTTGGGAGAGAGACGGAAAGCATGTTCGAAAAGTAACTCGATCCTTTTAAACAAAAAAGAACTGCTGTGATATTACCTAACCATTGGTGAGCATCAGCAATGAGGGCAAAGGGAAGAGGTGGGGAGAAACCCAAGGAATGCATTCAGACCTAAGGGATCCTGTGGATTGTAGTTTCAGAACTGGGGAACTCTCCTCTTCTATGCTCCCCTAATTGCTGCTCCAAAGAGCATAATAGGAGTACATCAGTCATCAAAACTCCATGTCCTGGTTGCACCTGGTAGCAAGTAAATCTGCTGATTCATGGGCTGCAACACCACCTTACTCTTCCGGATATGAGTAGTTAGAGATATGGGGACACTGTGAGAGCAAAGCTTTCCACAGACTGACACGTACTTCTCCCCATACCAGCTGGACAATTCTGCAGAATGTGTGCCATCCTTGGCACTCAGCTCTGTCAGTTCCACGGGGGGCATATTCCCAAACTTGCACTGCAGTACTGGCCAACAGAGGAAATCAGTGAGGCTACAGATGAGGCTGCAGTGAGTCAGTTCTGCCTCTCCAGGAATAGGGCATTTTATCAAAGCCAACAACATACTAGCCTAGGAGGATAAAAGCACTGAATGGCATCTGTCGTTTAGCGGAGTGATTACTACACTGAAAGCATCTCATGGTTTAAGGAGGGCAGATTAAGAATGGCTCTTACATGGAGCACTGTCCCATCCGGCTTCACCAGGGTCATTTCTTCATTAGTAGGTAGCGGCCAGCCAGAAGCTTTGCAAATGGGATTAAATTTACCACTGTTTACTTCTATATGATCTGGCAAATCCACTATCTTTGGGGTCATCCTTGGTATGCCTGAAGGAAGAAAACAGCACTGTGAAATCTAATATTTAACAGAGCCAGCAGCAGTAGTAATAATAAAAATAGCTACTTCAGCAAGTCATGCACTGGGCAAGAATTTTGCAAATATTTTATTGTTTTATCATCACATAAGACACCTGTGATGTGGATGCTATTGTGATCTCCCATTTTATGGATGAGGAGACAGAGGCTCACAGCCCAGATTCAGACTCTCTTTATAAATCCAGAGTCCACACTCTTCACCACAAGGCTATGCTCCTTTCATGAAGCAGGGAGGAACAGTCTCAATATTAAAATGATTATCATGGCCATATCTCCCCTAGACTTTGCTGTTCAGTCCCCCTCTTTCATTTTACTGAATGATTACAAAAATACAACAAAAAAACTAGTTCTTCTTCCACTCATCAGTTAACCCCATGGTATTGCTGATCAACAGCATTGTCCTCAGTTTAGGTATGTGAGAGGGTCTCATTCATTGGGAAGTCTGCAAATAGCAGATAAATAAGAGGAAAAGGTAAATAAAGTTGCTCACCAAAGAAGCACATCAAAGAAGTGGAATCTAACTTCCCCAAATCAGTATCTCCTCAACAGCCAAATCGAAAATGTTGCTGCCAATATTGAAAGAAGGAAAAATGTCTGTGGTGTCAATAAAGGTAATGGTGTCAGGATTTCTTGCCTAATATCTACATAGTAAAGAATGAATAACCCTGAAATACACCAATTTTATTCTGAACCATAGGGTCTTAGGGAACTGTGGACTATTTGTAATTGAATGTGAGACATGTTTGAAAATTGTCCAATACTCAGTAAGCAATGTAGGCGATAGAGGTGCCCTCAGAGCAGCAGTAACTACAGACTGTTCCTTATCTGTGGTGGGAAGAGGTGGGGTCAATAATGATATTTTATACTGATATCCTGCTTCTCAGGCCTATAATGAAACGGGTAAAGGTGTGGAGGAGAAGGGGAAGAGGTCAATACATACAAGGTTATTCCTTGATATATCTGTAAACTTGGAAAGATTATGGAAAATGTGCCAAATTTTTCAGCCTAAGTAGCTATTTGAATAGGAATTGAAAAACATGTTTTGACACTTTTAAAGCATTTCTTTCCTTCATCGTCCCCTTGTCTTTTCCAAAGTTGGGTGGAGGTGAAGGTGGATGTGCTGGGCTAACGTGGAATCTGGGAAGGGAGCTACTCTCTGAAAGCCCTAGTGACACCCTGGTTAACTTGTCTTAGATTCTCTCATCAGAATGCACTCCTTTTGCAGCATCAGCAGAAGGGAACAGACAGGAAGGAACAAAGTACAAAATTCAAATCCTTAAACTTGTTAGTTGCCCACGTTCAGTACAATCCCCTAGTAGCCCCATGGCATTTCCTTCCCTTTCTAACCACTCCCTGATTCCTGCCCTGTAGTAAAGTCCAGGCTTGGCAAAAAAAGAAAAAATATAAAGTTTAAGGACTTTGAGAAAACACTTGCTGGCATCCCACCCCCAACTCCCAATATTTGTTCTGATTTCCAAAAGTAACAGAAAAAAAGACCGTAGCTGTATTATTATGAGTGTAGATTTCACTGGATATATGTTTATTTCAAAAGCATTTATATTTACATGATTGAAAAAGCAATATATATTTATTATTTAAGTTTGAAGATACATATGTCTGCTTCTTTTAATTTTAAAAAGTATATTCTAGGGCAGTGGATAGCAAACATTTTCTGTAAAGAGAGCAAATATAGTCAGCTTTGCAAGCCATGTTTTCTGCTCTTGTAGTACAAAAGCGGCCACAGACAACATACTATAAATGAACAGATGTGGCTGTGATCCAAAATTTTTTTCTTTATAATAACAGATGGTGAGAAATAAAAAGGAATGAAGTACTGATATATGCTACAACATAGATAAACCTCAAAAAAGGTGTGGCAAATGAAGCTAGTCACAAATGACGACATACTATACGATCTTGTTTATGGCATATAAAATGTCAAGAACAGGTCATCTACAGAGATGGAAGATACAGCTGACCCTTGAATAATACAGGTTTGAACTGCACGGATCCACTGACATATGGATTTTTTTCAATAAATATATTGGAAAATTTTTTGGAGATTTAGGATAATTGGAAAAAACAAACTGTGTAGCCTAGAAATATCAAAAAATTAAGAAAAAGGTATGTCATAAAGGCATAAAATATATAGAGATACTAGTCTGTGTGCTAATTGACTATGTTATCGGTAAGGCTTCTCGTCAACAGTAGGCTATTAGTAGTTAAGTCTTTGGGGAGTCAAAAGTTCTATGTAGATTTGCTACTGTGAGGAGGGTCAGTACCCCTAGCCCCCATGTTGTTTAAGGTCAACTGCAAATTAACGGTTGTCAGAAACTAGAAGGACTGGAGAATGGAAGTTTCTGCTAATGGGTACAAGGTTTCTTTTGGTATGATGAATGTGTTGTAAAATTAGATTATTGCAATGATTGCACAGCTCTGTAAATATGCTAAAAACCATTGAATTGTACATTTTTAAAATGTGAATATTATAAAATAAAAATTGTATCTCTATAAAGTTGTTTGGAAAAAGACAGTGGGCTGGATTTAATCTGTGGGTTAAAGCTTGCTGGCTCCTGCTGGAGAGTAATTTCTGAACTAGAATTACATAAAATTTCATTTTGAGCATAATCTTTTCTATTTGTTTTATTCTTTCTATTGCTTTAAAAATATCCCCTGTCTAAATCCATCCCAAATTGCTCTTTCTCTGTTACGCATATCCAGGGAAAAGGCTGGTCCTAAAGAAGGGAGCAGAAGAGGCAGAGCTCTCAGCTGGCCAGTCATCACTTAAGCTGCTACAAAGAGCACATGGTTTATGCCTAGTGCAAAGAGAAATAAAGCCTACTATTGGGGTCAGTAAAGAAGAATTAAAATGCTGTGCTTTAGAATTTAGGATAAATTATTCCCAGCTTCTAGATGCAAACAAAAGAGGCTTGAGGATCTTAGGGTGCCGGCACAAGAATTATACCAGCAAAGCTCAGTTCAGACATGCTGAACATGGCCCTGACTACAGTGTTACCTTGCTTTACCTTCTCTCTCACACTGGAGTCCCTGCCGTCCTGGAGAGCAGAGACATCCTTGGAAGCGATCACACGTCTCCCCATTGCTGCAGCTGCACCTAAGCTTACAATCTGGCCCATAAAAACCATGGTGGCATGCTGTAAACAAAGACATCAAAAAACCAGTATTAATCCAGGGGAAGAGAGGAAACTAAGGCTGGAGGTGCTCAGTTTTACTTTTCTCTCTAAGTCATCAACTTTGTTGATTTGTGTAAGGTAGGGTATAATTTATCTGAATTACCAGGAATTTAAAAAGCTGGGGAGTTCTGCCTCCAAAAAAGTTGAATGAGCTCCTATCAGGCCAACTGTCCTGTAGATACAACTACATTTAGAAAATAAGAGTGGGATAGGAAGAAAAAAGACCTAGAAGATTCTGGAGGGGAATTGAAATTTGGAAGATGGGAATGATGTGTTTCCCAATTTTCAGCTTTTAGCTTAATTGTTAGGTACAGTTGACACCACGTATGGAAGCTAAAATTCCAAAGAAAACCTGCAGTCTACTGGTCTGATGAATCAGAGGACAGAGTCAGGAAAACCACAGCCACTGGAAAGAGAGGGAAAACCCAGAGAGTCAGAGAAAAGTCCCAGGTCTTTGGCTGATCCTTGATCCATGCATGCTCAATACAGACTCAAAGCAGCCCAGCTAAAGATAAAAGAGCTAAACTGAGTTTGACCTGATTCCTAACAGTGAGTTTGAGGTTTGAATCCTACCAAGTTAATTGCCTGCTAAAACAAAACAATATCAACATTCCTGAAAGGAATATATCATATTCCAGAGTCTCCACAATGTAACATTTTCAATGTTCAAGATACAATCCCAAGAAGAAATGGAGAAGTAAGGCCCATTTTTTAAGGGAAAAGAAAATCAACAGAGACTAACTGTGATGACTCAGATGTTGGAACAGACAAGAATTTTAAAACAATTATAATAACTATGCTCAGTGAGGTAAAAGAAGATACGTTCATAACAAATGAAGCAATGAGAAACTTCAGCAGGGAAATAGAAAGTATTTTTAAAAAGCAAAAAGAATTCTAAAACTGAAAAACACAATATTTGAAATCAAATAATCACTGTATGGACTTAGCAACAGAATGGAGATGACAAAAGAAAGAGTCAATAAACTTGAAGCAACATCAATAGATAGCCAATCTGAAGAAGAAAAGTAGGGAAAAGCTTGGGAAAAAATGATTATTAATCCTTAGGGACCCATAACACAAAACATCTAACACACATGTAATTGGAGGTCCAAGAAAGATCAGAGAGAAGGGGTTAGAAAAAATATTTGAAGAAATAATGGTTTAAATTATCCCAATTTGTTGAAATTTACACATTCAAAAATTTGTTAAGCCCTTAGCAGAATAAATATAAAGTAAAGTATGCATAGGTATATCATAGTTAAACTGCTAAAAACTAAGAATCAAGATAATTTAAAATGTTAGTTTTTAAGACTGTTTCTTTATAGTAGAATATTTAAGTCATTCAAATTATGTTTTGGTACTTGTAATAAGCTCCTGGGAGGACAGGGTAGAAGGATTATTTTCCCTTGGAGCTCACTAAACCTTCCAGGACAATTCTTAGAATTTGGTACATGGCAAATGGATTCTGTTAACTGAGTGTCCTTATTTTGGTCAACTGTAACATTACTAGAAGGCTTCTAACCAAAAATTAATGCAAAAGCTTGTCTTTTGGGGCACTGATGATTTGTTTTGGTTTTGTATTTTATTCACCCAGCTAAAATGCAGTCTTTTATTTTTAGTATCAATCACAACAAAGTTTTCTACAAATTCAATATAATCACTATCAAAATTGCAATGGAATTTTTCACAGAGATAGAAAAAACAATTCTAAAATTTATATTGAACCACAGAAGGCCTAGAATAGCCAAAGCAATATTGAGCAAGAAGAAAAATGCTAGAGACATCACATTACCTGATTTCGAAATATATTACAAAGCTATAGCAATAAAAACAGTATGGGACTGGCATAAAAACAGACATATAGACCAACGGAACAGAACTGACAGCCCAGAAATAAATGTACACATTTACAGTTAACAGATTCAACAAAAGTATGAAGAACACACAACAGGGAAAGGATAATCTCTTCAATAAATGGTCCTGGGAAAACTAGATAACCACAAGCAGAAGAATAAAATTAGAACCTCATCTCATTATATTCAAAACTCAATACAAAATGGACTAAAGACACAACATAAGACCTGAAATTGTAAAACCACTAGAAGAAAACAGAGGGGAAAAACTTCTTGATATTAATCTGGGCAATGATGTTTTTGGATATGACCTCAAAAGCACAGACAACAAAAGCACAAATAGACAAATGTGATTGCATCAAACTAACAAGCTTCTGCACAGCAAAGGGAACAATCAACGGAGTGAAGAAACAATGTATGGAACAAGAGACTGTATTTCCAAAGTATACACCTGATAAGAGGTTAATATCCAGAATATACAAGGAACTCAAACAACTTAATGGCAAGAAAACAACCTGATTAAAAAATGGACAAAGGACCTGAATAGACATCACCTTTTTTTGTTTGTTTTGTTTTTTGAGATGGAGTTTCACTCTTGTTGCCCAGGCTGGAGTGCAATGGCATGACCTCGGCTCACTGCAACCTCCACCCCTAGGTTCAAGCAATTCTCCTGCCTCAGCCTCCCAAGTAGCTGGGATTAAAGGCATGCACCACCATGCCTGGCTAATTTTGTATTTTTAGTAGAGACGGGGTTTCTCATTGTTGGTCAGGCTGGTCTCGAACTCCCAACCTCAGGTGATCCACCTGCCTTGGCCTCCCAAAGTGCTGGGATTACAGGTGTGAGCCACCGTGCCCAGTCGACATCTCTTAAAAGAAGACATACAAATGGCCAACAGGTATATGAAAAATACCCAACCTCACTGATCATCAGAGAAATGAAAATCAAAACCACAATGAGATATCACATCACGCCTGCTAGCATGGCAAGGATGTAGATAATAGGGAACCCTTGTATGCTGTTGGTGGGAATGTAAATTGGCATAGTCATTATGGAAAACAATATGGAAGTTCTTCAAAACACTCAAAATAGAACTACCGAGTGATCCAGCAGTCCTATATCTGGTATATATCCAAGAGAAATGAAATCACTATCTCAAAGAGACATCTGTATTCTCATGTTCATTGCAGCATTACGTACAGTAACCAAAATATGGACTTGACCAAGTGTCCATCCATGGATGAATGGATAAAGAAAACGTGGTATGTACACATATATAAAGGCATATTATTCAGCCTTTGAAAAGAAGGAAATCCTGTCATTTGCAACAACATGGATGAACCTGGAGGGCACTGTGCTAAGTGAAATAAGCCAGGCATAGAAAAGTCAATACTGTAAGATCTCTTCCATACATGGAATCTAAAAAAGTCAAACTTATAGAAGCAGAGTAGCATAGTGGTTCCCAGGGACTGAAGGGTGGAAAAATGGGGAGATGCTGGTCAAAGGGCAAAAACTTTTAATTACACAGGGTAAGTAAGTTCTGGAGTTCTAATATACAGTGTGGTGGCTAAACTTAATATTACTGTATTGTATACTTGAAATTTGCTGAGCAATCTTAAATGACAGATGATAACTGTGTGAGGTGATGGATATGTTAATTAGCTTAATAGTGATAATCATTTCACAATGTATACATATATCAAAATATCACATTTTGCACCCTAACTACATACAATTTTTATTTAGCAATTAGACCTTGATAAAGCTGGAAAAAAACTTAATCACAACTTCTTACTCAAAGCAGATGGTAGAAAGGTTGAGAACTATTAATAAGCATAAAGGAAATCTGACTACTGAAATCAAGTTTCTTTTGGGATGGTAGAAGATCTTAAAATATCATGAAGCCTTGATTTTTTTAGTTTCTAGAATACATTGTAACTTTCTTCCTGGCAAAGGGTTCTGAATGACTTTGAATGATCATGTATTTGCACAGTGGAATTCCCGTTCTCTTTATTGTCCCCACTATTTGCTTCAAAAATTTTTATTATTGCTTATTTTCTCAGATAGAAACCAGCCCCGATACATAAAACGTGCCAATGTACAATCTATTGTTGACTATTCTAAATCCTGGACTATTAAAGGAGACCATGTCCTTAAGTAGTTACTGTTAGAAATGTCTCCTTGCTTTCCTACTGCTTTTTGGATGGATTGAACAGGATAGTAACTGTTGAAAGGAGTCTGGAAGAATATTAGAACAGTTCTACTCATAAAATCTTCTTGATTTCTTGATCCAGGAATGGGCTAGAATGAGCTCATGAAATGTACTCTTATAAACCTGGGCCCAGAGACACATTCACTATGAAGCAGATGAAGTTTATGTTCTAGAGACTGCCTGCATGCACCCTTTCCTGGGTCCTAGCAAAGTGTTCGTAGTTTGCATGAGATTCTATTTTTTTTTTTAAAAAAAGACGGATCTCCCTGCCTGGAGTCACCTTTTACCTTAAGATGCACACTTCAGAGGCCAGATGGGATTCCTGCACTGCTGTGGCTCATTCCATGTTCCAGGGAGGCAGACATAGCATTGAGAGGGAACCGAATGAGGTATTGCAGGTGGCTGAAGCTAACTTTTGTGTAACTCTCCTCTTTGTCCTCCTCCTCCAAGCCCCTGGAGCTGTGCTGTCCAGTACAGTTAGCCACATGTGGCTATGGAACCCTTAAAATATGGCTAGTCCAAATTGAAATTTCAAAGACTTACTATGAAAAAGGGAGTGTTAAATATCTTATTAATACTTTTTTCTATTGATTACATGTTGAACTGATAATATTTTTAACATATTGGGTTAAATAATAGATCAAAATTATTTCACCTATTTCTTCTCACTTTTTTAATGTGGACACTAGAAAATTTTAAATTCTATATGTGGATGGCTTATATTTCTACTGAATTGCTCTGCCCTGGAGCATTGTTATCAAGTTGCTGGGACCCCAGTGTAGCTACCATGAGTGCTGGATATGGGAAAAGCTAACTTTGTGAGATAAACACTGAAAAGCCTTTGAGCTCTGGCTAATTCACAATATTAATATACATTAAGGACGTTCTGTCACATTTGTCTGCAGGTTCATGTTGAGCTACCGTGTGACAGTAGATGTGAAACACATACTGAAAAGTAGATGTCAGATGCACTCCACCAAGCCTGGTCAAACAGGAAAGCTTATTTTAGAAAGGGCAGAGGGACTCTGAGTAGGTGAAGTTAGTACTGCTTGCATAAGGTCCACAGCAGGTAAGATTTTAACTTCTTCAATTTTTGAGCCCCAAATCCTGTCTGGATCTGTCCTAAACGCTCTGATTTTGATTTTTTTTTTTTTTTTTTTTAAAAGACGAGGTCTCACTCTGTTGCCCAGGCTGGAGTGCAGTGTGCAATCATAGCTCACTGCAGCTTCAAACTCCTGGGCTCAAGGGATCCTCCTGCCTCAGCCTCCTGAATAACTGGGACAATAGGCATGTGCTGCCATGCCTGGCTACAGCTGTGATGTTATGATTCCCTGGAGAAAAAAAAAAAAAAGTCTTCTATAGTCTTCCTACTCAAAGTGTGGTCTGAAAACCAATAGCATCGGAACTACTTGGGAGCCTGTTCGAAGTGCAGAAACTTGGGCTGCAGTCCCTGCCTACCAAATCAGAATCCATGCTTTAGTAAGATCCCCAGATGATAGTTATGAGAAGTACTTTCTTTCTATGTGGTCCAGATTTTTATTGTGAAAATATAATTAACATTGGATGTAAACATCCATGATTCAAAATCCTGTCATCCAATAGTGGGTAACTAAGCAGTCCAGGTATATCCTATATTGTGATTTCCAGCAAACTAGATCTCCTTTGTATACCTGCTAGAACATTTTCTGTCCAAGGGTGTGATTGGTCCATACCTTCATTGCACTGCAGACCCTTCCAGCCTGTGGCACAGGAACACCCATAGGGGTCAGGGAGACAGAACACGTAAGACTTGCATCCATCTTGTCCACTGCACCTTTCTTTACAAGTTCTGCCAAATGTGTGCTGTTCACAAGCTTTGGAAGGAAAAGAAAAGATGGTTCAGAGTCAAATATGCAACCCTTTGAAATACATAATTCTTTGGATTCATTTCTCCTAGTCTAGTGAATATGGGAAACAGTCAAATCTCAGCTGTGGCATAGTAGGATGAACACACCCTTATGGCCCATTTTACTGATAGTGAAACTGTCCCGCAGAGAGGACATCAGGGACATCACTCACAATCATGCAGGTTTGTGCACTGCACAAACCTAGGGGGCAGCATTCGCATTGTAAACATCATAGATCTGTATATTTATTATAACTTTCTAGTGGTTGGCAATAAAGAGCCTTTAGGAAAAGGCACCTTTTTCTAATTCACACACAGGTACCATCTGACCTAACAGAGGCCATTTAGCTTCCATTCCCATCTGTGTCCAGATCTAAAATTCTAGATCCAGCAACAACGGCTTTTTAAATCCACAGCTTACTTATCAAGTCTCTTGACTTACCCTTCTCACATGTCCTTCCCATAAACCCAGGAGGGCAAATGCATTCCCCAGTATCTTCATGGCAGACACCATTGTTGACACAAACAGTACAGAGACGGTTACATTCAGGTCCCCACTTCTGAGCTTCACACCCTTTTGTTAAGGAAAACAAGGCTGTGGTGAGTACAGCACATCCACTCAACAAATCCTTACTGAGCACTTACTGTGTGTCAGTCATTTCAGTGGACAATGGTGAATGAAGATAAAATACAGGCTCTGCTCTCTAAAAGCTAATTGTCTAATATGGGAGACAGACATGTAAACAAGAAATTGTGATAGAAACAAAGACAAGGAGTACCTAACTCTGTCTGGTGGATGGAAGAGGGCATAAAGGAAGGCTTCCCAGAGGATATGGTGTGCAAGCTGAATCTGCAGGACCAACTAAGTAGCAAAGAAGATAAGGCTGGAGAGTGTGTTCCAGGCAAAGGCAAGGCACGGGAAGAGAACGTGGCCATGTCCAAGGAGCTGCATGGTTATAGGCTGGCGCTGTGGTTTTCAAAGTGTGGTTTCTGACCAGTAGCATCCCCATCATCTGGGAATCTGTTAGAAATGCAAACCCCAGACCCCACCCAACCACGACCTACTGAATGAGAAATTCTAGAAGTGGCCTAGTAATCTGTGTTCAACAGTCCCTGCAGGTGATTCTGATGTATGCTAGAGTTTGAGAACCTCTGGCGTAGATTATGTGGAGGAGGGATAAGGCTACAAAGAGAACGAGTAGCAGGAACTAGTAGCCTCCACCTATTTTTCAGCTGGAAAACCATATAAGAAGTGAAACAAGATAGGCAAAACCTAAAGTCCAAGGATGGTAAAATCCTTGTAGATTCAGATTTCCTGGCCACTTCTAACACTTGATGATTTTTGATTGTTAATTAGGTCCTAGGATAGCTTCTAATATAAGGAAAACCCAGGGGGGTTGGAATGACCCTTTGTGGTCAGGAATTTAGTTTCATTTCTCATCTGAAGGGAACTAGTGTCTTTGTCCTGTTGTTAGTCTCATGGTGGTAAGCTTGGGCCTGTGCCTACAGCTGATGGAACCTTATCATTTCTTTAGCAAGAACTCCTGGTTATCAGTATTTTCTCTACAGTAATCAAGAAGACTACCAACACACATAATTTCTTACAGTCTTCCACTTAATAGATAAAGGTACAAAATGTCTAAAAACTAATATTTATATTCCTCAATACATAAAGGGAAAGAGGTTTTGTGCAATTAGTGATTTCTTGAGAGCCAGACTGCAGGTTATTTACACATGTTGAAAACCAATGGTGGCAGGCAATGTAGATGGCAATGAGCTTCCTGTGACATTAAAATGTACCCAGCCCTGTACCTACCTACAGACCTATCCCAGCGTCACTTCTCATCCCAGGAAGGAAGGAAGAATCAAGCTTTAGGGAATAATAGAGGTGATTTCTTGGGGATGGAGAGGTCAAGAAAAGAGTTTGTTGATAAGCAACAAGTATACAATTAGGCATCTATTTTCTTCAAAGGCCTTGTGATTTTGTATTTTAAGAAACGCTACTTTCGAAAATCTTGCCAGAGAGCAAATCTACAGAAAAGAAAATCCTATTGTGATTTTTTAATAAATCTTTAAGCACTGACTGTTTCTAAGTTTCAATTCATCCTGTAGAGATGTTGATATGGTTTGCCTCTGTGTCCCCACCCAAATCTCATCTCCAATTGTAATCCCCACATGTTGAGGGAGGGACCTATTGGGAGGTGATTGGATCATGGGGGTGATTTCCCCCATGCTGTTCTCCTGTGAGAGAGTTCTCATGAGAGCTAATGGTTTTATTTTATTTTATTTTATTTTATTTTATTTTATTTGAAAGAGAGTCTGGCTCTGTTGCCCAGGCTGGAGTGCAGTGGCAAGATCTCGGGGGTCACTGCAACCTCTACCTCCCAGGTTCTAGCTATTCTCCTGTCTCAGCCTCCCAAGTAGCTGGGATTACAGATGTCCACCACCACACCCAGTTAATTTTTTTTGTATTTTTAGTAGAGACCAGGTTTCACCATGTTGGCCAGGCTGGTTTTGAACTCCTGACCTAAGTGATCCACCCACCTCAGCCTCCGAAAGTGCTAGGATTACAGGCATGAACTACCATGCCTTGCCGAGCTACTGGTTTTAAAGTGTGGCATTTCCCCACTTTGCATGCACATGCTCGCTCTCTCTTATGAAGAAGGTGCCTTATGAAGAAGGTGCTTGCTTCCCCTTTGTCTTCTGCCATGACTGTAAATTTTCTGAGGCCTCCCCAGCCATGCAGAACTGAGTCAATTAAACCTCTTTTCTTCATAAATTACCCAGTCTTAGGTAGTTCTTTATAGCGGTGTGAAAACTGACTAATACAGATACCCTACAGTTAAGAGAAGTGGACACATGCCTTCAACTTTATCTCATTTCTTCATAAACATCAAAGAACTCATACAGGGGAGAAATATTCTTAAATGAGATGATTGTGATCCAACTTAAACTTTCTTAGAATGATTTTAGATATCAGCTGTGCTTGTTGAATGGCTTCATTAAAATACTCCTAACCACAAAGGAGAATGAACGAGACAGCTTGGATATCAAAATGTGTTAGAAATCTTTTGCTTTATCTTTAAAGCTCAGGTGAATTTCATACTCTAGTTTATAGGTTTGTTTTAGTATTAAAGTTTTTTTAAAGCTTTAAGCCTTTTACCACTGTGTTATTGTGATATAATAATATATATGTTACATATATAGTCTCTTATATTTTATATATACATACACACACATACACACATATATATGTATGTGTGTATATATACATATATATACACACACACACACACACACACATACACACGTATAATATATATGTAGTCTCTTCCCTGGTTCCTGGCACAGAGTTCCTAAAACCCCTGGAATCTCTGGAGTGGTAAGAGTGCCTTTTGTATGCTAATGAGAGGACTGGTGGCTGGTGGTCCCTAGATAGCTTCGGATGAGGGCTAGTCACCAGAAATACCAAGGCATGATTAAAGTTGTGATATTCAGCCTCACCCCCGAATCTCTAGGGAGGGGCTAAAGGCTGCATATTGAATTGATCAATGGCCAATGATTTAGTCAATTATGCCTACCTAATGAATCTGCCATAAAAACCCAAAAGGGCAGGGTTCAGAGAGCTTCCAGATCACTGAACACACGGAGGTTCCTGGAGGGTGAGGTACCTAGAGAGCACACGGACGCTCTGCACCCCTCCCCATACCTTGCCCTGTGCATCTCTTCCACCTGGCTGTTCGTCTTATCCTTTGTAATATTCTCTATAATAAGATGGTAAATGTGTTTCCCTGAGTTCTGTGAGCCCTCCTAGCAAATTAACCCAACCCAAGGGGGAGTCTCGCCTCCAGTTTATGATATACGGTCAGTCAGAGACATAGGTCACAACCTGGGGCCTGCAACTGGCATCTAAAGTAGGGGCAGTTTTATAGGACTGACCACTTAACTAGTAGGGTCTGATGCTATTTCCAGGTAGAGTCGGAATTAAGTCAAACTGCAGGATACCCAGTTGATGTCTGCTAGAGAATTGGATAGGGTGTAAGGAAAACTCCCTACGCATTGGTGTCAGAAGTGTTGTGTTCAGTGAGAGCAGAGATTAGGAAAAACGCTTTGATTTTCCTCTCTCAAACAACTATATATCAACATGTATAGACAGTTTGACCTTCCTAGAAGATGTACCCCATTTACCCTCTGAGTACACCTAGTACATGGTGTTATATCAGACTCCAGAGAAACTATCTAAATGAAATAAAAGCAAATTGCTTCCTTGCCATTCAGTCTTTCCCGAGTAGTGGAATGAAAGGGGATGTCACTTGCTTCTCCCAAGGCCACAGAAACTTCATGTAAAGGTAGCTGTGAGGCAAGCTATTAGAAGCTGAATATTGCAGTTTTGCTATCATCATAAATTATATGTTTTAAAGATTCATCTTACAAAAAGGCTGCTCTGACATTTAATAGAAGTCAAGCACAGTAGTCATCTAGGAGGAAACAGGTCCTGGGTACATGGAAAGATGTCTCTCGACTCAAGCCCAAATAGTCCTGCCTATAAAACACCTTGCTATATTTTATGTCCACAGAGGTGGCTAAGCATGGAGCATAAACTAGATGAATCACACTTCTCATACTTCTACTGTCAGTTTTCAATATTTATTTAGGTAATTATTATACATGTGCCTACTCTGATTGGGAATGACACAAAGGACAGGGATTTATCTTATGATCCTGTATTCTCAACACCAACACAATTCTTGGCACAGATTTAAGATCAACATATTTTGGTAAACGAATGGGGGAACATAATGCAAAGCAAATGAATTGGAGATGCCAGTCATTAGAGGAATGACAGAGAAGCCCAGGCATTTAGACCTGAAGACTTCAATATTTAATATTATGAAAACCTGATATAGCTGGGGAGAATTCAGGGCAAATCATTTTCTTTCTATTCATCAAGTTCCTGTAAAAATTACAGGAAAATGTAATGGTGATATTTATGCCCCACTTCAATAGTTATAATGGAGAAAAAAAGTGTTTACTAGTTCTAACTCTTACATTTTTCAAAACTGAAAATAAAAATCACACTTAAGAGTTACATGACCTAGGAAGTGTGGGGTTTACAGGAGGCAATGTTTAAGTAGACTTTAGTCTAATCCAAGAGGTCCAACTCATCCCCCTAGAGCAGACACCTTTCAGTGAGACTGCTTTCCTCATTGTGATCCCCCTTTTTATATGGATGATTATGCTGTACAAATGTGAGCTTCTAGTGCCTGTAACTTGTAGTACGTGGATCCACCCTTGTCTGTAGCTCACTGGTCTAGGCTGATAGACATCTAATATATGTTAGGCCAATCTCATTATTCTTCCTGGAAATTCAAAGTTTGGAAGTGAAAGAAACATTGCTGAAGCTGAGTCATGGTAAAAGCAGCATCTCTGAGAGAAAGCCCTCTCCCCTACCACCCACACCAACCACAACCGAGCCTCAGCTCTTCCTTGAAGCTTATCTTTACTGGAACTTGCTTTATAGTGTTTTGGTTATTGTTGTTGTTGTTGTTGTTGTTGTTGTTTTTTTTTTTTTTTTTTTTTGAGACAAGGTCTTGCTCTTTCATCCAGCCTGGCCCACTGCAGCCTCGACCTCCCGAGTTTGAACTATCCTCCTACCTCAACCTGCCAAATAGCTGGAACTATAGGCATGCATCACCATGCCTGGCTAATTTTTGTATTTTTTGTAGAGATGGGGTTTTGCCATGTTGCCCAGGCTGGTCTCAAACTCTTGAGCTCAAAGGGCCTCTCAAAGTGCTGAGATTACAAGCATGAGCCACGATACCCGGCCACTTTTCAGCTTTCCCATCAATATATTAAGAATCCTTAGTGTCCTCCTCTTGTATGGTTTGGCTGTGTCCCTACTCAAATCTCATCTTGAATTGTAGTTCCCATAATCCCCATGTGTTGTGGGAGGAACCCAGTAGGAGGTAATTTAATCATGGGGGCAGTTGCCCTCATGCTGTTCCCATGATAGTGAGTGAGTTCTCATGAGATATGATGGTTTTATATGGTGCTTCCCCCTCTCCTTCACTCTCATTCTTCTCTCTCCTGCCACCATGTGAAGAAGGATGTGTTTGCTTCCTCTTTTGCCATGATTGTAAGTTTCCTGATGCCTCCCCAGCCATATTGAACTGTGAGTCAATTAAACCTCTTCCCTTAATAAATTACCCAGTCTCAGGTATGTCTTAATAAAGAGCATGTGAAATTAGAAATGATTTGCCCTGAATTTTCCCCAGCTATGTCAAATATTTGTAATATTAAATATTTTAAGTCTTCAGGTCTAAATACCTGGGTTCCTCTGTCATTCCTCTGATGATTGCTATTTCTTATTCATTTGCTTTGCAGCATAAGAACAGACTAATACCACCTCCAACCAATCCCTGGTTTTTGCTTAAGAAGCCATAGTTCGTTTCTATTACCTGCAACTAAAAATCCTAACAACCTGACAACTACACCATCACAAATGGTGGCCTCTCCATCACTTACTCCGGACTATCAGCCTGGTGAAGGCCGAGGTGAAGAGGTTTCCTCCTATATACCTGGCCGAGTACACTCCAGCATCCTGGGGCTGAGCATGAGGCAGGTGTACTTCTAGAATATCAGGTACTTCATGCCGAGGCACTGAATGGATGAAGGAACCTAGTAAGAGGGAAGAGTGAAGAACAATAGGTCACACTGAAACATTCCTGTTTCCTTGTCTGGTTTCTTCACTTAATCAGCTTTCCCTGACGTGGTAAAGAAAATGTGCTCTCACATATTGGATGTGGGAGAAGAATGAAAAGGCTGAACTATTCAGTACTCTCCCAATAGTCAAGAAAGTCATAGTGATAAAACAGATAGGTTAGTCTGTGGGATCTACCACCAAACACATAAAGGTGGGAGTAGTCTAAGTTCTTACATTCTACAGGAAGAGGTGAACATAGTTGGCAGGCAAAGTTAGGTGAAAAATGAGAGGTAACCCTGTCAACTAACCAATTAACCAGGAGATATATATAATTGCTACTCCAGTCTGGAAGTCCTATCCACTCACTCACTTCAGAATGATCCCCATCAATATTCCAGCTGGATCAGGCAACTGACACCGGGTGGTACCAAACCATAGCTAGGTTCTAGACACATTTGGATTACGCAGTTGGACTGCCAGAACTAACAATTGGCTTCCCATGTTTACTGTGGTAATTTCCTAAACCTTGCAATCAACAATGTCAGAATCAAAGAAACTCACATTTTATATGGCTGAAGCTGGGATCTCACATTATGATGGTGTTTTATTGTATGTACATATACCATGTACATTCACATATATGAATTCCACTTTAATATTCTTAAGTAACCAAATATGTCACCTAAGAGGGCTTCTATCATACACAGAATTTGAAAGCTTGCATCATAGCTGCTTTACTTCAAACATCTGCCCACAAGACCACAATAGGAAAATGATCCAATATGTTGTATGTTATCTGATATCTCACATCATAATGGGGAAAGCAATGAAACACATACTCACCATTTTTGTAAATCACTGCATCTTCTTCTTTAATCAATACCTTTTTGAAAGATATGTTCACATTATCTCCCTTGTCCACAGTCATAGTTAAAGTAGCTGGTAGGAAGGAAGCTTTTAAAAGAGAGAAAACAAATACCAAAAATGGGGTCACACATTTTCTCCAGGAGCAATTGAACTTTAAGACTCAGAAAATGAGGGCTGGCACTTGCTAGGTGTCAGATGGTTTTTGTAAAGTGAAAAACAGTGGTGGCTAATTTACACTCTGTAAGAGTGTAAATATATACAAACAATATGCCTATGCACAATTTTTCTATTCAGCGGTTGGGGAGGTGAGGATTTTGTGTTGATTAGTTCAGAGTGAATATCCCTTATCTGAAATACTTAGGGCCAGAAGTGTTTCAGATTTTATTTTTCCATTTTGAAATATTTGCATTATGCCAGCTAAGGATCCCAAATCAGAAAATCTGAAATCCAGAATGCTCCAATGAACATTTCCTTTAAGCATCAAATTGGCACTCAAATATTTTTGGATCTTGGGGCATTTCAGATTTCAGATTTTTGGATTTGGAATACTCAACCTGTACCTATTATCAAACTAAGTCCTGATACTAACAACAAACTACATTAACTGTGAATCTGCCATCCTTTTCCAATCCCAACCAAGTTTTCTCAAAGTGGAAAAAAAAATGAATGAAATCTGAGTTTCCCCAAAGTGAAAGAGAAAAAAACATTTGCCAAATGGCTTTTCCCCTGATCCTTTTGTGTTGTTGTTGTTCCAAATAATTCTAATTCTAATTCTAATTTCCATGCATTTCTCAAATAAAATGAGCAAAATGCTGGACTTACTACTCATGGTGTAAATATTGGAAGATTGAAGAATAAAGACAAGGATAGAATCTAATATCTTGCCTTCTACCTTTTAATTATATATGTATGAACTGACATAGTTATGGAACTGGACAGTACTGAGATGTAACTGGGAAAATTATTTTATATTTGACTTATAAAATCATAAGCCAAAGCTGGGCATGGTTGCTCATGCCTGTAATCCCAACCCTTTGGGATGCCAACATAGATCACCTGAGGTCAGGAGTTCGAGACCAGCCTGGCCAACATGGCGAAATCCCGTCTCTACTAAAAATACAAAAATGAGCCAGGCGTGGTGGGACGCGCCTGTAATTCCAGCTACTCGGGAGGTTGAGGCAGGAGAATTGCTTGAATCCGGGAGGTGGAGGTTGCAGTGAGACAAGATCGTGCCACTGTATTCCAGCATGGGCAACAGAGCAAGACTCAGTCTCAAAAAAATAAATAAATAAATAAATCACAAGCCAATTGACTGCAAATTCCTGTCACTGTGTCAAGCTTGCCATGCAACATTGAATCCCTTGGCTTATTGGACAAGATGTGTGAATAAAATCTTCTAACTTTCTTCCAACAACAAGAGTTTCTGAATGCCTTTAACTTGTATCATAATCTGCAGAAAGCCAAACTCTGTGAGATAAGGAGGTATTAGCTTTAGGCTTTAAGTTAAGCCAATGTTAACAATATAAGGCTCACCACTAAAAGAAGAGAAACAGTCTATCTAACTTTCCTTAATAGGAGGGCAAGAGAGAAGAGAAGGAAACAAAAGACTTTTAAAATGAGAACCAAAGGACCAGAGAAAATCATGGTGTGGAAAAGATGGAATAAGGTGGCAGAAGTTATGCCAAATATGTATTAAAAAACAGGAGCTCATATCAAATTCAGATCAGAAAATCTTAGATTCTAGAATCTTAATTCTAAAACACACACACACACACACACACAAAACTGTGTGCTCTTTTCATGAAGTATACATTCAACATAATGGCACATAAGATTGCAAATAAAGGGATGTAAAAATATATAGCACACTAACACTAAATAAAACTAGCATTGCAACATTTATACAGAAAAAAATTATTATAAAGCTAAAAAACTGTTAGGGATAAAGATGGTCATTATGTAATGATAAAACAGAACCATCTACTGATAAAACCCTGTTAGATTTTATTCACATGTCATGTTCAGGAAGATATTGTAATCCTGAAATTATATATGCATCTAACAACAGAATTTCAAAGTTCATGACACAAAAAGTGTCAGAATTAAAGAAACTGACAAATCTATAAGCACAGTGGAAACTTTCAGAAATTAATTAAAAAGACTGAAAATTACTAAGAAAATATTTAGAAGATTTTAATAATGCTATTAGAGATCTGTTGAATATTCATTAACCCCTTGCTCAGTTATTGAAATACACATTATTTACCAGAACATTACCTATTTATCTACAAAGCACATCTCTGTTGATAACAAATTCTCTGACCAGAATGCACCTAAATTAGAAATTAATAGCAAAACATCCTGCCCCCCAAAGTAAGAATTCCTATAAAGACTCAGACCACGACCAAGCCTTGGGATTGTACGGATCCTGCTGAGGACCTTGTGATGAACCAGCTGGTCGCTGTGCCCTCATTCTCATCTCATCCATGGCTTTCAGATGGTGGTTTGAGAAAGACTAATCAAGTGTTTTGTGCACCACTGGCTGAGACAGCTACCCTGTGAGAGCAAAAGATGCCTCCAAACCATGCTCAGAAGGACCTGGGCTTTAGGTTTGTCTGCTTGCTTTCACTGGCTGTGGGCTGTGCCTGCTGACCCTAGTATGGGTGCCTTGCACAGACTCCCCTGGTGGTCAGGTATGTAAATACCTCTGGTACAGATGATGACCTGGGGCAAACCCAGAGAGAGCACGGGGTAGATCATTCCAGCAGTGTGAGCGCTGGAATCAGACACATTCCTGGGCTTGGATCCACCCTCTGCCACCCTTTTTGAAAGAGTTCCTTCACCTCTGCAAATCTCAGTTTTCTCATGTGTAATTGAAAAGTAATAATACCTACCTTCAAAGGTTGTTAGTAATTTTTTTTTTTTTTTTTTTTTTTTTTTTTTTTTTTTTGAGACGGAGTCTCGCTCTGTCCCCGGGCTGGAGTGCAGTGGCCGGATCTCAGCTCACTGCAAGCTCCGCCTCCCGGGTTTACGCCATTCTCCGGCCTCAGCCTCCCGAGTAGCTGGGACTACAGGCGCCCGCCACGTCGCCCGGCTAGCTTTTTGTATTTTTTAGTAGAGACGGGGTTTCACCCTGTTAGCCAGGATGGTCTCGATCTCCTGACCTCGTGATCCGCCCGTCTCGGCCTCCCAAAGTGCTGGGATTACAGGCTTGAGCCACCGCGCCCGGCCGGTTGTTAGTAATATTAAGTGATGTAGGCTAAGCCCTGAGGTGCTTAGAGGAGGTCAGTATCCTTCTAATATAAACAGCAACACTGCTGTGCTGACATTTCTGATATGAACCTGAGGGACACTTTTCTCCAGAGCACTAAAATGAACCAGCCATAAAGGAGGAGCAGACAGGGAACTGGACGGTGAGCGGGGCTGGCTTTGCGGGGCTTCTGCTCACATTGCCAAGTGCTTCATTTAGCCCTCCAAATGCATGCAGCTCTTGCTCTCCGTGGCATGCTCCTGGACTCCTATGAGAATTTTTTTCTGGCCATTTCATGCTGTTGTTCCTGTCTATGTGGTTTGTTTATATTTTCTGCTCCTTTGTGTGAGAATTATTTAGCTGACCGTGGGACTTCTCACTCAGTATTGTGTTCTGAAAGGAACCAAGGTTCCCCAGTAGGCTCAACTCCAAGTAGCTTTCCCCCCACTACTCTGCGACTCTTTATTATTTAGGACTGTGCTTTTTAAGCTCCTGTTTTCTTAGGGGCATTTTCACACCAGAGTTTCACTGCTGTCCACAGTTTCCCTCTGCATGAATGTCTCCAGGCTGGCTGTTCTCTGCTGAGTACTAACGAAGGAAACCCAACATTCATGTTCTACTTTGGGCTTTCTGATGACACAGGAGCCTGGCTTGTATTCAGTACACATATATTGATGTCATGTGACTTGACTAGACCATAAAAACAATAAGCACATTTTAATAGCGCCTACTATGGACCAAGCGCTGTTATAAGCACTTTATACAAATTTAATTGTCAGCTTGGGGGCGGAGGCTCACGCTTCTAATCCCAAAATTTTGGGAGGCCAAGGTGGGAGGATATCTTAAGGCCAGGAGTTTGAGACCAGCCTAGGCAACACAGTGAGACCTCTTCTCTACAAAAAAAATGTTTAAAAATTAGCCAGTTATGGTGGCACCTGCCTGTAGTCCCAGCTGTTCAGGAAGATCACTTGCGCTTAAGAAATCAAGACTGTAGGCCAGGCATGGTGGCTCAAGCCTATAATTCCAGCACTTTGTGAGGCCGAGGTGGGCAGGTCACGAGGTCAGGAGATCAAGACCATCCTGACTAACACAGTGAAACACCATCTCTACTAAAAATACAAAAAATTAGTCAGGCGTGGTGGCGGGTGCCCGTAAGTCCCAGCTACTCAGGAGGCTTAGGCAGAAGAATGTCGTGAACCCAGGAGGCAGAGCTTGCAGTGAACTGAGATCGTGTCACTGCACTCCAGCCTGGGCGACAGAGCGAGACTCCGTCCCAAAAAAAAAAAAAAAAAAAAAGAGAAATCAAGACTGTAATGAGCTACTGCACCCCAGCCTGGGCAACAGAGGGAGACTCCAACTAAAAAAAAAAATTACTTTTTATAATATCCCTATGAGATTGATGCTACAATTATCCTAATTTTACAGATGAGGAAATTAAGGTACAGAGAATCTAGGTAACCTGTCCAAGATCACATAGCATATACATGGGAGAGCCAGGATTTGAACCAAGGAATCTGGCTCCGCATGCTTTCATAGATTATGTAATGTTAGCACTCAAAAGGCTTTTAGGTGCAACCACCTCATTCTATAAATGATATTGCCAAGGCCTAGGTTAGAAGATAACTTGCTTAAGATCATTTGGATGGGCTAATTCATGGGCAGAGCTTAACTAAAAATATAATTCCTTATTCCATAAGGGCTGGAGAAGAAAGTAGGTGGTAGTAAAAGTTATACACAAGTGAAAACACAGATGAAAAACAAGTGAGCTCAATTTTGGTCATCTCCTTTCAGTTTACTTGTTGTATAAGTACCACAGGAAATAATGTAGTTTTATATC